ATTGTGAAATTAGCTGTCAATATATGCATGTAATCACTTACTAAAGATTTCTTAGATCAGAAATGAGTATTGAATTTTATCAAAAATCTTTTCATCAGCAATCAAAATATTCCTGTTCCTCTGTCTTATGAATAAATTTCAAAAAGTTCATGGAAAGTATATTATAATACTTTGTATGGCTTTAACACTCATATTTAATTTCTTAATCCTTATATTTGTGTCACTGAAAAAGCCTGATCTGAGTCATGGTGTATTTTTAACCTGACTGTTTGGGGCGGGTGTTTGTCCTAGGGGTTAAGAATGCCTGCATCCCACAGTGGAGTGCATTGGTTTGAGAGTTCCAGCTCTGTTCAGGATTCCAGCTTCCTGATATTGTGTACCCTGGGAGGCAGCAGGTGATGGCTCAAGTTCTTGAGTCACTGAAATCCACACCGGAGACCTGGATTGAATTTTTGGCTTTTGACTTTGGTCTAGCCATAGTTGTTGTGGGAAGCTGGGAAGTGAACCAGCAGATGGGAGCTAGCTCTCTCTCTCTCTCTCTCTCTCTCTCAATATGACTCTGTTTTTCAAATAAAAATAAATAAAACTTTAAAAAGCAATGTTTTAATGTATGGAAGGAAGGATGTGTGCATGCATGTTATATGTAAACACATTATTTTATATAAGGACAGAGAGAGAAAGATCTTCCTTTTGCTGGTTTACCCCTAAATGTCCACAGCAGCCAGGGGTGAGCCATGCCAAAGCCAGGAGCCTGAAACAATCCATGTCTTCCATGTAGGTGGCAGGGACCCGAGCACTTGAGCCATCACCTACTCCTTCCCAAGGTATGCATTAGCAGGAAGCCGGATCAGAAGCAGAAGGGGAACTCAAACCCAAGCATTCAAATAGGGATGCAGGCATCCCAATTAGTATCTTAACCACTATGCCAAACACCCACACTTAAATATTTATTTATTTATTTACTTTCATTTGAAAGGCAGAGAGAGAGAGAGAGGCGGTCTCTCTCTGTGTGTCTTTCTGCCTCTGAAGTAACTAAAGATATATAAAAAAGAAGAGGAGAGCTAAATTGTTTTTTCATGGCAAAGGGTATTTATTTATGCTTTCTGTGGCTAGTAGGCAGCCTCCACCTCCACTGCCTCTGGTGGTAATACGAGAGTACTTAAGAAGGTTTGTGGAAAATGAAATCACAAGTTCAATTTGGTGCAAAAAGTTTTTGGAAACTGCTGCCTATGAGGTATCTTTAAAAAGTTCCTGAAAAATACACATTATGAAAAAATTATGCATAGATTTAAAGATCTTTTTTGCACCAAGTAAACTTAGTTTTTAATTACATTTTCCCCAAGAACTTTTTGAAATACTCTCATAGAAAGCAGAATTATCCTTAAGTCCATTGCTAAAGAGGCCAAACATGGTCTTCCTTTCACATTTTTTTTTTTAAGATTTATTTATTTATTTGGGAGGCAGTGTTACAGACAGAGAGAAAAGGGTCTTCCATCTGTTGGCTTACTCCCCAGATGGTCTCAATGGCCGGAGCTGAGCCTATCCAAAGCCAGGAGGCAGGAGCTGCTTCTTCTTTTTTTTTTTTTTTTTTTTTTTTTTAATTTTTTGACAGGCAGAGTGTACAGTGAGAGAGAGAGACAGAGAGAAAGGTCCTCCTTTTTCCGTTTGTTCACCCCCTCAATGGCCGCTGTGGCCGGACTGGAAGAGGAGCAACCGGGACAGAATCCAGCACCCCGACTGGGACTAGAACCCGGGGTGCCGGTGCTGCAGGTGGAGGATTAGCCTACTGAGCCGTGGCGCCGGCCACAGGAGCTTCTTCTGGGTCTCCCATGTGGGTGCAGGGACCCAAGCACTTGGACCATCTTCCACTGCTTTCCCAGACCATTAGCAGGGAACAGGATTGGAAGCAGAGCAGTCAGGATTCAAACTGGCATCCATACGGGATTCCAGTGCTGTAGGTGGAGGGTTAACCTTCTATGCCACAGCACCAGCCCCTCAGATTTTCTTTGAAATTGAGAGAAAACATTGTACGTTGAAATGTTTAGAAGTATGTACACCATGTAGAATGGTTAAATCCAGCTTAACAAATGTATTACCTCACATTAGTTAATTCTGCAAAGAGACCACATTACATCCGAACTAAATAAAAAAAGGATTTTGTTTGATTTGAAAGGCAGAGTTACAGAGAGAGGGAGAAAGAGATCTTCCATCTACTGGTTCATTCCCTAGATGGCTGCAAGGGTGCCAATGTCCAAAGCTGGGCCAGACTGAGGCCAGGAGCCAGGATCTTCCTCCAGGATGATACATTGTCATTAACTACAGCTACCTTGTTGTGCAATAGACATCTTTTTTTTTTTCTAAAGATTTAGTTATTTATTTGAAAGTCAGAGTTACACAGAGAGAGGAGAGGCAGAGAGAGAGAAGTCTTCTGTCTGATGTTTCACTCCCCAGATGGCCACAACGGCCGGAGCTGCACCGATCTGAAGTCAGGATCCAGGAGCTTCTTCTGGGTCTCCCACGTGGGTGCAGGGACCCAAAAAGCCATAGCAGAGAGCTGGATTGGAAGAGGTGCAGCAGGGACTAGAACCATCACCCATATGGGATGCCAGCACTTTAGGCCAGGGTGTAAACCCACTGCGCCACAGCACCGGCCCTCTGCAATGGATATCTTGAACTTGTTCTTCTGACTGTAATTACCTCTGGCCAACATCTCCCATCCCTTGTAACTACCCAGCCTCTGATTAACCACAGTTATGATTTCTACTTCCATGAGTTCAACTATTTTATTCTACATATGAGTGAGGTCATGCAGTATTTATTTTTCTGTGCCTGGCTTCTTTCACTTAACATAAAGGCTCCCAGGTTCATCCATGTTGTTGTATGTGCCAGGGCTTTGTCTTTTTTTACTGCTAAGTAGTATGCTACCATGTACACAGATACTGTGCTTTTCATCCCTTCACCTGTTGTTGATGGACACTTAGGTTGATTCCATACCTTGGCTACTGGGGATAATGTTGCCATAAACGTGGAAGTACAGCTGACTTTTTGACGTACTGACTTTATTTCCTTTCATTTTAAAGCCTTTGGCGATCAAAGAGCAATCATCTTACCCAGAAGGTCAGGCCCTGGAGAACTGGCACAAACCACCCAGGTGAGAGCAGAGCGTAGATTTACATGCATGTCTAGGACTCTGAACGAGGTTATGAGGGAAGCATATTTGAGGAACTAAAGGAATGTCATCAGTGCAATATCATTCCACAGATAAAATTCTGTGGGACAAAGAGAAATTAAGACATTTAATACAGAGTAAGATACTATCTGTCTCTCAATAGTTTCACAATCTAGTGAAATATATTACAAATATATACAAATAATGGTTGTATACAGAAGATGTTGGGGGAGGGGCAGGCATTTGGCATAGCAGTTCAGACTACACTTGGGATGCCCACATGCCATATGTGAGCACCTGAGTTCTAGTCCCAGCTCTGCTCCTGGTTCCAACTTCCTGCTAATGCACACCCTGGCAGTCAGCCATTCACAAGGGAGACCCAGATTGAGTGCTTGACTCCTGGCTTCCGCCTGGCCCAACCCTGGTTGTTGTGGGCATCTGGGGAGTGAATCAGCAGATGGGTGATCTCTGTCTCTTTGTTTTTCAAATAATTTTTTTTAAAAAATTACAAAAAGATAAGTGTAATGATAACCCTATCTCATCTGACTCCTTTCTTATAGCTACCTTATCCCTTAGACACATGTTATTTTTCTGATTATTGTTTTTAAATAAAACTCCAAGCTGTCCTTTCAAAGGGTAATTGTTTAGGGGGAAATCCTGTCTTATGTGTACCACACCTCTATGACTTTATTTAGGTCTCATAAAATCCAGTAAATCCAGGTCCCTTTCTAGAGCTCAATGGGCTGTGCTGTAATAATGGACATAAATGTCTTCCAGCTGAAATGACCAAAGCCCGACAAAACCAAAGACTGACACTGTCACTCTGGGGTGGAATCTCAATTATTCATCTGGTTGTGTTCCTTCTGGCAATCCATTTAAACACTCACCCAGATTATCATCTAGGTACAGAAGTAACCAGAAAGTTAGAGCTGGTAACTTTCAGCTATTGAGCGTTTTACCCAAAACCCACACAGGTGGACGTGTAATGTAGAGCAAGAAATTACTGCAACACTACAAACTTGTGATCCATTTTGCAAAAATCTACTAAGACCAACGGAAGTGTGGTGCAACGAATCCTTGCAAATTAATAGAGAAAGCGCGATTGTTCCGTAACACCTTGGTCCCCAAAGTAACTCAGGTGACCTGCCCAACACCAATCACTCATTACATTACGGAGGAGTCCAGGGCTTCAGCCCTGCAGCAGTGAGTTGAAAACGGGGTCGCGTGAGCCGTGGGAAGCGCCCCGGGCTTCCAGATGGAGTGTTTGCTACAGCGGAGAAAGGGAGAGTGGAAAAGGTTGCCCAGATCCTCGCACGCGTCCCACCCTCCAGGTCAGGCCCTGATCAGTTTCCAAGATCTGGGGGACCAAGACCCCGGAGAGAGCCGAGGTGTCCCACAAGGTAACTCCCAGGAAAAGGCGGAGGCGGCCGCAGCGGGAGGCGCGGCGTCCAGTCGCTGGGGTCCGCGCCCAGGAGGGGGACTCGGTGGGGAGGGGGCGGGAGCGGCGGTGGGCAGCGCAGGGAGGAGGGGAGGGGCGAGGCGCGGTCGCTGGCCCCATCCCCTCGTCGGCGCTCCCCTTCCCGCCCGTCCTGGCCGGGCACCCGAGCGCATCCCGCCGCGGCCGAGCCACTTCAGGGGGAGGCGCCAACTCGTCGCGGTGCTGGGCCCCCGATCGAGCAGTAACCGCGACCCAGGAGGCGGAGCAGACGCGGCTTGGGCCTGCGCTGAGGTGAGGTGTGGGGGTGGCGTGTGAGGCCGAGGCGGGGCGCCAGGCGTGCAGCAGGCAGCTCGCAGGTACCCCAGCAACGGGGCTGGGCTCGCCAGCATTTCCCGCCCCCACTCCTCGACCGCGGCTACCGCCTAGGGGCCCCCGGGGGCGAGAGCCTCGCCCCAGCCGCGGGCCCGGGCGTCGCTGCGCATGCGCAACCCAGGTGGCGGGGGCTGGACGCCACGCTCGGGCTACATCCCAGCCTAGGCCTCAGGGCGGAGGCTGCATCGCGCATGCGCGAGCGGCGAGCGGTTGTGGGGGTCGCATCTGCTACTTGGCTTTGGCCAAGGGGGGCTTTGCGTTTGCCTCAGTCCGCTGGGGTCCGTTTGGCGTTGCTCCTGGGCAGTCGCTTGCCCGGAGCCTGCTCTGCTAGGCTTCTGCGTCCTGTCAGGCCCCCGGGGAGAGGCGTCCTAGGGCGCAGGTGTGGCGCCTGTCTCGGAGTATCGTTTTCTCTCCCTGTTCTTCACCGTGTGTGCGCTGCTGTGTTTATTTCTATCGCCTGGACCCCTGGCTTCGCCTTGTAAATCGAACAGGCTCGCTAGCCCAGGTGATAGGATGTTTTCGACATGATGTCGAGGGATAGCGCGGAGAGTTCGAATTTGCTGGACGAAACTGTCAGGCCCTGCTAAGGGAGACAGGAGGGGAAGTCGGCGGCGTACATCTTAAGCCGGAGGTACTTCTGGGCTCCGCCCCGGAAGCAGCGGTTTTCCAGGCCTTGAAAACTTTCAAGTGCCCCGCCTTGGCTGAGGAAGAGCTTCCTGCCCGCGTTGGAAGGCGAGTGCAGAACAAAGTTCTGCTTTTGTTCTTTGCAAAGCTACAGAAACTTGCAGACAGCTCGAGGCCAGGACTGTAGCGAAACGCATGTGGCTGAGCTGGCTTGTTCTGCACTTGGCAACTTAATCCGTGTCAGAGCCGAATAAAAGTGGTTGAATGTACAAGCTGAGCTTTGGCAGTTTACTCTCCTCCTCCACCCCCCCGACTGGAAGGTGATAGCATCAAATGTGACTCGAGCCTCCCAGCTTTGCTATTTCCTAGTCCTGAGTCCCTGCCTGGCTGAACACCTCGTGGCGCAGTAGTACTTAGCTAGGTCGGTTTTGTGGCTCCTGGGGCTGCTGTGCTGTTTTTAACAATGTCATTACCGTCTGCATTGTAATCTTATATGCTGTGCTGATACAGTTGTTGAGGGTTGGAATAGAAGCGCCGCGTAGGAATGGAGACTCGGAGTGCTCCAGGTGAAATGTCATATCTTCTATTTCCTACTGCCTGGGCACTGCATACCTGTTACTAAGTAGTAGGTAAAGCCCGCAGGACGAGGCGCCCTTGGGTACCTCACTCCCACCATACACGCCTAATCGCTGTGGCTGGGCTCGCCCCGGGACGCCTGCACTTGATACTTCCTCCCTGCTCAGTACTCACTTTCCCACTCCATTGAACCTGCATGGCACTGTACTACATTTTCAGATGTTAGGGTTCAAAAAAGGTGGGGAAGCATCTAGTTAAAGTGGAAAAGACTATTTGAGGGGAGGACAGAATGGAAGGGTGAAGAGAGTGGAGGTTCAGCCTGGGCAGGCGGTTTGAGGCCAGGCTTCATCCCGTTTGAGCGGCAGGTGGAGTTCCTTCTTAGGCTGCTTGTTGGGGGAGGTGCAGAGTGCCGCCTGGACCCTGACAGGGTGGGTGGGGTGCGTGCAGCAAGGCTCAGTGTACAATGCATCCTCTTAGCAGTTTGGAATGTCCCAGCTAAGGGGCTTTTCCAAATAAACATTCCACCGACCTTTAGATTATCTGCACCTGGCTTCATTGGGTTAGGGGATCAGGCCTCAGTGACTTAGGGGGTTCAAATACCCTGGACTTCATGCAGTCTTGGAGAAGTGATTATATCCTCTGGCATAGCCCCTATTCTGACTCTCCAACCTCTTATCCCACTCTTTTGGCATTGTAGCACTTAAGTGCTATCTTATGTTGTGTACCTGAATTCATGTGAGCTATCTTCACCCGGAATCAAAGCTCAGAAGGTGTTTGTTAACTAAATGATAGAAATTGGAATCTAACTCACTCCGGAGATACTTTGTACTGAATTCGACATGGATTCCTTCCACAGACGTTCATTTCCTATCAGGTCCTGTCCTGGATGCTTGGTGTCTATCAGTGAACACAGATCCCTCCCCTCAGGAGCTTATATTCTTGAGAAAGGGGATCAATAAACATTTCATTATTATTCTAGAAATGATAAGTGCTGTGAGAAAATGAGAAAGGGGATTGGAAGTGCAGGTGTGGGCTGCAGTTTTAAACTAGTCCTCATGATAAGTCTGAAGAATAAATCGGAGTGGTGCTCCAGATGTGGAGAACTGGGTTTTAGAAGTACATGTCCTGGGAAGAGGTGGGCTTTGCCACGTTCTGCTATGTCTCAAATGTGGGTCTCCACACTGACAGATGTCGCCATCCTTTCTGTATGTAGGTAGAATGTATGTGTGTGTGTGTGTGTGTGTGTGTGTGTTTCAAGATTTACTTATTTATTCACAAGGTAGAATCCCAGAGAGGAAGGGAGAGAGAGAGAGGTCTTTCTCCACTGGCTCACTCTCCAGATGACTGCAAAAGCCAGACCATGCTGAAACCAGAAACCAAGAACTCCATCCAGGTCTCCCATGTGGATGACAAGAGCTCACGCACTTGGACAAACTGCTGCTGCTTTCCGATAGGCTCATTAGCAGGTAGCTGGATCGGAAGTGGAGCAGTGTGGACTCAAACCGGCACCCATGTGGGATGTTGGTGTCCCATGATTGCTGGATCCAGAGTGTGAGTGTGTGTGTGTGTGTGTATTTATTTTTTTATTTTAAAGGCAGAGTGATAGAAAGGGAGAGACACAGAGAGAGATCTCCCATCTCCTGGTTTACTACCATGATGGCCACAATGGCTCAGGCTGGTTCAGGCCCAGAAATCCATCCAAGTCTCCATGTGGGTGTTTGGGGTCCAAGAACCTGAGCCATTAGTGTGTGTGTCTTTTATGTCTTCAACCTGGCTAGCGTAACCTAAGCTAATATCTATATCTATTTCTATATTTATATCTATATCTATATATCTCCTTGTGGAAGACATGTGGAGCTAACCAGTACCAGTGGATGATAGCATGTGAGTAATTCATAAATTATGATTGCATTATGTTCTGACTTCTGCAAATATATGATATTGAACAAAATGACTCCCAAGTGGAGGTGAGGCCAAGAGGGGCTGTCATGTTGAAGGAATATTTGCACTGGGGAGTGAAGGTCTTCAGCAACAGGCATGTTTGGAACTTTTAAAATGGAATTAGATATATAAGGACCTACATTTCAAATGGATTTTCAAATGAGTTTTTAGCACCAACTGATATTAGTTAATATATAACAACCTTATAACATTTGTATAGTTTTCAGTTATATTTCATATTTGAAAGTGACACTTTTCCTGTGAATGGCTGACAAGAACAACCTCGATGAGCTTGGTAATCTCTTCAAACTGAATTCAGCATTGTTTTGGGCTGAAGATCTGTGTCATCATTCTTGGTGAAATTTGAAAACCTTTTTACAAACAAACAGTTACAATTTCAACTGTTACCCAGTGTTATACAAGTCACTTTGCTGTTTTTTGTAGAATTTGGTTTCCTCTAAGGTTATACTGTTAGTTAGCCATCCTGTGTATAACTGTTCCACTTTGATTAGCAGCTATACAGGTTTCTTACTGTTATCATTGACTTTTGATATATCATTCAAGAGAAGCTAAATTACAGCTAACATTATCCTTTTTTTGGTAAGCAATAGTAGGGATCATGTTTTGTTATTTTATATATATTTATATAAATTATCATTTATAGACAACCCTAAAAAAGCTATTAACAGTACCATGAAATGCTCAGATAAGTATTTATGTGGAAATCATCATTATCCCATTGACATGTCCTTGGCCAAATGTCCTGCTCAGATGGAAAAGTTTGCTTAAATATTGAGTTCTGCATGACAGGGAAACTTCTTTATGTTTGACTTTTTATTATCAAGTTGAATTTAAAAATATGTAGCACTGGGCTTGCTCTGCAGAAATTCTTAGTTTTCAGTTTTTGTTCTTTCTGGGGTCGTTTCTAAAGAACAGCTGTCGGCATCAGAAGCTCCTGATCGACTGCACCATGCCAGCTCTTCAGGCCCAGCATGGGGCTGGGGTAATGTGGACACAGACCTCAGACTCTTTTGCTCCACATAATTTTCTTTGCTCTTTTATGTATTTGCTTTCCATTCAGTACCTTCTGCAGGCAATAAATCAATATTTGTTGAGTGAATTAGGCAATTGAATGTATGTCCTATAATCACCTTACCTCATAATTTAGGTCACAGGCATTATCAAATAAAATGACACATTGTGTAGCATTCACAATGATTAATACTGATTACTTTACCAATGATAATATGTACAGACTGCTTTTATATATTGTACAGGGAAATGAATTATTTGACCTGTTCTGTGTGAGGATTAGGAGTGGATATGTTTATCATATTGTCAAAACACTGTCTTGTCATCAGCCAGTCTACACTGTATATTTTTTAAAAAAGATTATTTATTTGAAAGGCAGAGTGACACAGAGGGATAAAGAGAGAGAGAGAGAGAGAGAGATCTTTGATCTACTTGTTCACTCTCCAAATAGCTGCAACAGCTGGGGTTGGGCCAGGCCAAAGCCCGGAGCCTGGAATTTCATCCAATCTCCCTTGAAGGTAGCAGGGGACCAAGTGCTTGGACCATTACGTGTTGCTTTTCCCATTAGCAGGGAGATGGATCAGAAGTGGAGCAGCCAGGACTCAGACTGGCACTCCAGAGTAGGATGCATGTGTTACAGGTAGTGGCGTAACCTGTGGAGCCACTTGCTGGTCCCTGTAAGATTTTATTTTCTTCAGCATTGGGTAAGCTTATCTTCTATTGCTGAGATGATTAATGTGATTTACTCTTAAAAACCCTGAAATCTTGTCAGATAGAAAAGCATTGCTTATCAATTCATTGATAGAATTACTTGGAAACTTTTATCTTTGACTTTACCTCCATCAAAACTTTCTAATGAAAAAAACCCAGTGACATATGTGTTGGTATCCATAATACACTAAAAGAGCATTATTTTCTGCATATTTTAAATATTAGCAAATTGTATACCACATGTATCATTTTGTGACTTGGTGATTTTTGGTCCTTGCTTCGAAGAATTATCTATGTTGGTTCTGGATAAGTGACTTTAATTGCTGTATAGCACATACATGCTAGAGTTTATCAATTCTGTTGGTGGATTTTGTTGATTAATTCTGTTTGTTATTTCTTTTTCTTTTTTTTCCTATTGCAAACAATTGTGTGTATGCTCCAGAGTTCATCTAGGTCAGTAGTTTCCAAACTGTAGGTGTGACTTGCTAAACTGAACTATAAAAGTGGGTGGAACAGGAGAGGTTAGGGTAGAATATAAAAACATAAAATAGACAAAATAGAAAAGAAGGTAACACTAAGCCTCTCATGTAGGAGAGATCAAAATGACTGTGAAATTTTTGTTTCAGTTGCATAAATTTAACAAAAAGATTGATACTGCAGTGGTCAGATATTGCCAGATATTCTGTAAACTGATTATACTAATTTACATTCTGTTTTGCAATGTATGAGGTTGCCTTTTGATCTGTATCCTCACCAACATTAGATATTGCCTGCCAGTAATTTTTCAGATCTGATGGGTGAGATTGATCTCCTTGTGGTTGTGTTTTCATGATAAATTCCATGATGGATTTGAGTATCTTTTAATATGTTATTTAATTTCTTCTGTGAGTTGCCTGTTCCTCTGTCATTTCTTAATTGTGTTTTCCTTCTTTTCACTGATTTGTAGACCTTCTTAATGTATTTTGTATTCAAATCCTTGGCCAACTGTCAGTTTTGTGTATCACAAGTTTCTCCTATTATGTGTTCAAATTTACCAGTCTTTTCTATGTGGTTTATGTTTTAATGTCTTATTTAAGAAATTTTTTCCTCCCAGAGGTCATAGAAGTATTTTCTATACTTTTAAAAGTTTGAAAATTGTCTTTTTTCACATTCCAACTGGTCCTTCTTTCAATAAGTTGAATATGTTAAGATACTACATATTAAACATATATTAGTATGTGTATTTATGTTGAAACTCTTTGTGGAAATTTAAAAAGTATAACATCCAAAACTTACATTTTACAATCTAAGTACTTTTTTTTTTTTCTTTGACAGGCAGAGTGGACAGTGAGAGAGAGAGACAGAGAGAAAGGTCTTCCTTTGCCATTGGTTCACCCTCCAATGGCTGCCGCAGCCGGCACGCTGCGGCCGGCGCACTGCGCTGATGCGATGGCAGGAGCCAGGTACTTATCCTGGTCTCCCATGGGGTGCAGGGCCCAAGGACTTGGGCCATCCTCCACTGCACTCCCGGGCCACAGCAGAGAGCTGGCCTGGAAGAGGGGCAACCGGGACAGAATCCGGTGCCCCGACTGGGACTAGAACCCGGTATGCCGGCGTCGCAAGGCGGAGGATTAACCTAGTGAGCCGCGGCGCCGGCTTCTCAGTACTTTTATAAATTGAGCACTTCTGCTGACTTTTTAATTATAGTTATAAAAGATTTTAAATGCTTTTTTGTCAAGTAATGAATTGTTAAACTTGCAAGATAGTGTATTCTTTTCCTTCTCTGTGTTTCTCTAATAGAATTGATTTATGTATTTATATTTTCAGTCACATTAACTTTGCTATAGAAGACAACTTTATAAGGATTTAAAAGGAACAGAATTAAAGATGACTGAATGTTGGATTCCAGCAATTTAAAACAATCAGGTACAAATATTATTTGAGGGGACATTCCCAGCCAGTGTGAAGTAAAACTGTTGGGAAATGTAAACAGGAAAAACTTAAAAATATTTATCACTCAATGGAGGCTCCAAGAGCAAAGGCTTTGGAATCAGCCCTGGGTTTAAACACGAGCTTGCCGGCGCCACGGCTCACTAGGCTAATCCTCTGCCTTGCGGCGCCGGCACACCGGGTTCTAGTCCCGTTCAGGGCGCCGGATTCTGTCCCGGTTGCCCTTCTTCCAGGCCAGCTCTCTGCTGTGGCCAGGGAGTGCAGTGGAGGATGGCCCAAGTGCTTGGGCCCTGCACCCCATGGGAGACCAGGAGGAAGCACCTGGCTCCTGCCATCGGATCAGCGCGGTGCGCTGGCCGCGGCGGCCATTGGAGGGTGAATCAACAGCAAAGGAAGACCTTTCTCTCTGTCTCTCTCTCTCACTGTCCACTCTGCCTGTCAAAAAAAACCAAAGAAACAAAAAAAAAAACAACCAAAAACACGAGCTTAGCTACTGAGTGGCTGGTGACTGTTGGTCGAGCTATTGAGATGTAGCTCGAGAATAGAATCAATGATGATAAATGTTTCATTTGGATATTGAAAAGATCAAATCAGTGCTGTCATAGGGCAGCTGTTTATTTTAAATGTTATTATTTAGTATCATATCATGGATGTGATTTTTTTCTGTATGTATATTGTGGATTTTAAAAAAACTATTTACTGATGTATACTAATAATAGCCTAGGGAAATCACATGAATAATAGGGTAAGATAACTATAACTTCCACCTGAATTCCACAAACTATATTCCTCAAATAGTGCAAAATAGGAAGCTAGTTGTCTCTATTATGTATGTAGCACATTAGTATCATGCAGTAAAAAAAGCCAGTCCTGGGGGCTGGTGCTGTGGCATAGTGGGTAAAGCTGCTGCCTGCGATGCTGGCATCCCATGTGGGCACCGATTTGAGTCCCAGCTGCTCAACTTCTGATCCAGCTCTCTGCCAATATGCTTGGGAAAACAGCAGAGGATGGCCCAAGTCCTTGGGCCCCTGCACCTATGTGGGAGACACGGATGAAGCTCCTGGTTCCTGGGTTTGGATTGGCCCAGCTCTGGCTGTTGCCGCCATGTAGGGAGTGAACCAATGGATAGAAGACCTCTCTCTTTCTCTAATTCTGAATTTCAAATAAATAAGTAAATCTTAAAAGTCAGCCTTTTTCCACAATGATAGAGAATGCAACAATTTTTTTTACCATATTGTATAATAATAATTAATCTTGAATTATTTTATTTTTAAATGTATTTTTAAATGTTTATTAGTTTGAAAGGCCGACAGAGAGAGAGAGAGCGAGCTTGGTTCATGCCCCAAAAGCCCACAGTGCCGCCTGACTGGGCTTAAGCCTGCACTGCATTCCTCCACGTGGTGGCAGGAACCCAATTACTTGAGTCGTCACCACTGCCTCCCACAGTGTTTGTTGACAGAGAGCTGGAGTTGGAGCTGGGAGTTGAATAGAAGCCCTCCAGTATGGGACACGGGTGTCTCAACTGCTAGGCAGATGCTTAGTCCCTTGAGTCATTTTTAAATCTTGAAGGACTTTCTGACCAACACACATGAACATACATGAATCTTACATTCAGTATGAATTTAATCTAATGTCATTTCTTTGAATGTGGTAATTTCATATGCCATACATGCAATTGTGTATTAGCATGATTAAGTAAACTAAACAGAACGGCCTGTTTTCCCCACCATTCTGATTTCAAAAAGCTTTTATTTTCTTGAAATTCATGAAAGACACTGAAGGGAGTTATCTGTTTCTCTTCTAGCAGGAACAGAGGGGCCTGAGGCACAGTCGGGGATGGTCATTTGTTCTGTGGTCCCTTTTCCTTCCTTTTTTTTAAAATTATCTTCTATTCTCCTCCTTTCTTTTCTTTTCCTCTTTCTTCTCTTTTGTCCCCTATTCTCTTTTATTCCAGTAAACTTGGAGCAGATAGACATAGTAAAAGTGTTTTCAATTCGAATGAGGCAGAGTGAGAGGACTCCTCAGCACAGGCAGGCTCTCGTGTCCTAAGGATGTTTTCTATGAATATGCGGTGTTCCATTCTGAGCCTGTGCACGCTGTTGTGGTTCTAGCAGCGAGTGAGTTATGGTTGCCTCCTTTGAAGAGCTTGCCAATTAATAGGGAAGAAAGATCTTTTAAGAATAACTATCGCTGGCGCCGCGGCTCACTAGGCTAATCCTCCGCCTGTGGCACCGGCACCCTGGGTTCTAGTCCCAGTCGGGGTGCAGGATTCTGTCCTGGTTGCTCCTCTTCCAGTCCAGCTCTCTGCTGTGGCCCGGGATGGCAGCGGAGGATGGCCCAAGTGCTTGGACCCTGCACCCGCATGGGAGACCAGGAGGAAGCACCTGGCTCCTGCTTTCGGATCGGTGGCCACAACGCGCAGGCCGTAGTGGCCAGTTGGGGGGTGAACCAGTGGAAAACAGGATATGGATAGTGCCATTTTAGAAGTGCCATGGAAATAGAGAATGGGTCCCCACCCATGGGAGTAAGCAGGAACCACATCAACGTGAAGCGCAGTGGCAATCATGCTGGGCTTCAGAGAATAATTGGAACTTTGACAGGCCTGCCAAAATATTTTAATCAGTAATGTTTAGTAAGTAATAATTAAATATGGGGAGATACCTGTTCATATAGTAAGCTGATCAAGTTTATAAATTATAAATGAGAAACTTCTAAATAATCATTTTACAGACAAGTATCTTTTTAAATTTAATCCCAAGTACTAGAAAGAGTGATTAGCTGTGAATTGCCATAGCTTTGACTTTTTTGAAAGATTTATCTATTTGAAAGGCAGAGTTGCAGAGAGAGAGAGAGAGAGATCTTGCATCCACAATTCACTCCCCAAATGGACACAACATCTGGAGCTGGGCTGATCTGAAGCCAGGAACTTCTTCTGGGTCTTCCATGTGGGTATAGAGGCCCAAGTACATGAGCCATCTTCCACTTCTTTCCCAAGCCATTAGCAGAAAAGGGGTAAGAAGTGTAGCAGCTGGTACTGGAACCAGTGCCCATGTGGGATGCTGGCACTGCAGATGGTGACCTTACCAGCCGTGTCACAGCGCCAGCCCCCATAGCTTTGAATTTATTATTATTCCCTTTATTCTGAGAGACTTTTGTATAGCCGAGGGGAAAAAATTACAAGTCTCCTTAAGAGCACACACAACATAGATAAAGAACACTTTTTTTTTTTTTTTTTTTTTGCTTATTTGACAGAGTTAGACAGTGAGAGAGAGTCAGAGAGAAAGGTCTTCCTTCCGTTGGTTCATCCCTCAAATGGCCACTACGGTCGGCACTGCACCGATCCGAAGCCAGGAGCCAGGTGCTTCCTCCTGGTCTCCCACGTGGGTGCAGGTGCCCAATCACCTGGGCCATCCTCCATTGCCTTCCTGGGCCATAGCAGAGAGCTGGACTGGAAGAGGAGCAGCTGAGACTAGAACCCAGTGCCCAAATGGGATGCCCGCGCCGCAGTCGGAGGATTAACCAAGTGAGCCACGGCGCCAGCCCCAAGAACCCTTTTAAAATTTGACCTTATTTTGATTGTTGTCATTATCTTTTATAAGACTACAACTCCATTGTGGAAAATATGAGATAAAATGTTCTGATGTGAGTACTTGAAATATGGATTATATTTAAGTAAAGGAGACCCAGCCTAATAAATTGGGAAAATCAACATTGCTAAATACAGTTTTATCAAATTGCTTTGGGGGGGTGTAGAGAATCTTTTATTTATGTTTACTTTTAGTGCTGAGACAGTCGACTATGTAACAGTTAAACCACAGTTGAGACATATTACATATCTCCCAATGGGGCTGGGCCAGCTGTTAACTTCCTCCTGGTAGAACATGGTTATCATAGAGATGGTTATTAAGGCAAGAACATTCAGTGCTGTTGCCATGTACTTGATGGCTGTGGTTTTGGATTTTTCATTAAAGTTCAGGAAAATAAAGCCGTGTTCATTCGTTCATCTTGTCACCCTCATTCATTCATTTCTCCTTTTTTTTTTTCTCTCTCAGCAAATCATACATTCTTCAGTGGAGCTGAGAATCGCTAAGTCTCTTCTTCCCACTGGCTTGGAACTTTCCAATCCCAGAGAAAGCCTAAGGTCTAAAATTTATTTTTTATTATCCGAAAGAAGGCAACTGTGAAATGATAATTTTCTACTCATTTTCTTATAGATGCAAGGACCTGCAATTATCTTAGGATTATTTTTCCAGGCCTTAGCCTAACGATTCCAACCTGAAGTCATCCAGTAAAAGCACCGTTTGGTTTTATGACTGTTAATCCCATGCCCTTCCCTTCACCATGTTTGAGCTTATTTCTTTGCTGTTAATTGGAAGTACTCATAAAGTGATTTTAACCTCCCGGGTTTTACCCGAATACAGGATCCTCATTTTACCACCTACTTTTTCCTCAGGGACTGCACAGGACTGAGCCCATATGGAAGAAGAACGCCCTCTTTTCTATGGAGAAAGTAGCAAGGTTAGAGAAAATCATGCCCTTGGAAGCATGCGTTCTCTGTGGCATGAGGCATACATCGTCAGACGTCCAAGGTCACCGGTAGGAAGATGAACGAGACAGTGTCTATGTTTGAGAGGCCCATGGTGCAGTGACTGCAGTGCCAACAGATGACTATTGTGGGGCTGTCCGGTATGACAGGGCCAGCAGGGAACTGCCATTACCTGATGGAGACGGGGGCACTGGTGCCAGGGGAGGTGCGAGTCTCATTCACAGACGAAGCTGAACTGAAAAGGCTCTGGGTTAAACAACGTCTGTTCCATTCCCAGAGGTTTAAAAAAGAGAAAATATCTCAACCTTAGGTTCTCACTTCCTCACTGACATTCTCAGTTTGTTTCTTTTGTTTCATAACTGAACATTATAGTCATCTGGCTTACATTCATTCATGGCCAATTGATGTTAAAATGTTCACATCTTTCAGCATGCATACATATCTTGTGATGTTGTGTTTTTATTAAATTTACAAAAGGTCTGCTCATCACTATTAACAGCTTAATGTTAACCCTCACTGTGAATTTTGCCTGTTTTCTATTCTTTCTTAAATAAGGTCAAGAGTCAATAAACATATATATTAATAAAAAGCCAGCACAGTATATACAGATGGCAGAGCTGACAGCTAAACCATAGCGTTACTGTGTGCTGACTTAAAACACTTTCTTGTGCGCTCTTACTAGGAAGCCCAGAACTAACTTACCAAAATAATATGCAGAACTTGAGAATCTTACAAAATGTTAATAGAGGAAATGCCTCATTTTTCCTGGAAATAAATTTCATAAGATAAAAGAATCACAGAATCAGCAGGAAAGTTATTACATAAAAAGTATTTGCAATGCTGGGAAATTCTCAAAAAGTGAAGCATTGTGTATTTTATTGCTAGGCATGCCTAGCCTAATTTTGATTCTATTTTAAATTGAATTGTGACAACGTGGCTGTTGTCTGTAATTGAGATATGGTAGTCCACTTAATTCGTCACGTTGAAGGGGAAGCATAGTTCAGCAGGTAGGGATAATAAGATGTGTTTGGGTCTCTAATTTTGTGGCAGATCTGTTTCCTTAATGGTGTTTTCCTGAGCTAATATCAGAGCCTCATGGCTTTGCATTTCCCAAGCAGACGTCAGCTGAAGGTGGGGGAGCTGGGCGGGAGGTGAGCAGAGCTGGAAAAGCAAGCTGGCCAGGGGTGAGTGACCACCTGAGGGAGGAGGGTCACCTGGGCTGAACGGGGCCTGCGAAGTCTAGGGAACGATCTTAGTGATCCGTGTGACCTTGTGTTTCCCCATACACATCTTTCTGTTGCCAGGGTCAGTCCTTGCTCAGCCAGTCAGTCGCTTGCTTGGCTGGTGGGCACAGAGACAGGAGGTGCCCTCTGCAGCTGACTGAGCTTCTGTGAGCACTGTGCATGCTCTCACGGCTGTGCTGGACAGAGGAATATGTTCTTTGAACGAAGATGCTGCATTCCTTGAGACTGATAGTAAATACTTCAAAAATCTGAGGAAGTCTGAAGTTCCCTGTGTAAAAGTTCCCCCGTAGACTTCGATGACCAACTTCTAACAGGCAGCCTCTGCCAGATTTAAAAGGAATGTGTTCACACTCCTGTTGTAGTTCTGTGTTTCGCATTAGATTGTTGGGGGGGGGGGGGGGAAACACACACACAAACACACACGCGCACAGAGCTGCCATCTGCTGATTTCACTCCCTAAAAGGCTGTAACCGCCAGCCAAAGCTAGGAGCCAGGATTTTCATCCAGGTCTCCCATGTGAGTGCAGGGGCCCAAATACTTGGGCCATCTTCCACTGCTTTCCCAGGCTGCTACATGGGAAGTGGAGCAACCAGGACTCAATCTGGTGCCCATACGGGATGCTGGTGTCACAGGGTTTGACTCAGGCTGTGCCACAATGCTGGCCCATTTTTATATCTTTATTTCAATGAAATGATCAAACCTGACAGCAGCATCTTTTAATCAAATGTGTAGACTGCAGGTTACAGTGTATTTAAAAGTACACTGGAGGGGCTGGTGCTGTGGTGTACTAGGTTAGGCCTCCACTTGCGGCACCGGCATCTCATATGAGTGCCTGTTCCAGTCCCGGCTGCTCCGCCTCCGATCTGGCTCCCTGCTGATGGCCTGGGAAAGCAGCAGAAAATGACCCACGTCCTTGGGCCCCTGCACCTGTGTGGGAGACCTGGAATAAGCTCTTTGCTCCTGGCTTTAGATTGGCCCAACTCCAGGCGTTGTAGCCAATTGGGGAATGAACCAGCAGATGGAATATCGCTTTCTCTCTGTGTCTGTTTCTCTGTGTAACTGTGCCTCTCAAATTAATTAATTAATTAATTCACACACACACACACACACACATTGGACTCCCAGAAGTCAGTCATGGGGCTTGTTTCAGGTGGGCTGGGAAGAAAGTTCAGAACTAATGATTTGCAGACAAGTGCCTAGGAGCCAGTTGGAATGTACAGCCGATTCTAGGCATCTGAGAAACCACTTGATTTTGTGGCAGGGCAGGATGAAATCCAGACGTCTGACTTACAGGAAAAAAATGAGGTATTGGCTGGCGCCATGGCTAACTTGGCTAATCCTCTGCCTGCGGCGCTGGCACCCCGGGTTCTAGTCCCAGTTGAGGCGCCGGGTACTAGTCCTGGTTGCTCCTTTTCCAGTCCAGCTCTCTGCTGTGGCCCGGGAGGGCAGTGGAGGATGGTCCAAGTGCTTGGGTCCCTGTACCCATATGGGAGACCGGGAGGAAGTACCCAGCTCCTGGCTTTGGATCGGCGCAGCTCCGGCCATAGTGGCCATTAGGGGAGTGACCCAATGGAAGGAAGACCTTTCTCTCTGTCTCTCACTGTCTATAACTCTCTCTCTGTTTCTCTCTTTCACTGTCTCACTCTGCCTAGCAAAAAAAAAAAAAAAAAAGAGGTATCATTCAGTCATTGCATCTTGCTACCCTCCCTGTTTGTGGAAGACAGCCCACAGTGGATATCATTGCCCTGTTTGTTATGTTGCTTACAAGTGCAAGCAAACACTGTAGTATCATAAATGTAGCATTGCATTCCCTGTGAGCTTTTTGTTAGCATCAGCTGATGTGTGGACAAAATCTGGCCTTTAACCTGGACTGGTCCACTTAGAAGTTAGTGACCTTGGCTGTTACTTAGTGTCTCAGTGCCTCTGTTCCCTCGTATACAGAAGGAGGGTAGCAATATCAATGTCTGATTGTTGTGAAGATGAGAAATAACATATTAAGAATCTCATTAACTGGGACATTATTATATCTAAATTAAATACTTGATGCCATTTCCCAAACTTTGTCCTTCTTGAAATTTACACACTTAAGTAGGAAAAAAAGAAGAGCATACCTCACAGAGGATAGGATTCCTTCATGATATAAAGGTAATTCTAAGTAGAAGCTTAGACAAAAACTAACGTTAATGAGATTCTGTGTTTAACTCTGTAGTATACTTGGGAAAATTGCTCTTCTTCTAGTAAACAAAGTATCTCATAGAGAAAAAAAATTATTTTTGTATAATGAGTCTAGGACTCCTAGATTAACATAATGTCATCATGTAGTTTTTGCTTTCCTAAAACACATACACACACAAATGGGGACATGGATTTATTCATTTATTTGAGAAGCAGAAAGACAAATAGACACAGAGAGGTCTCCCGTGTGTTGGTGCAATCCGCAGATTCCTATAGCAGCCATGGCCGGGCTGAAACCTGGAGATGGGGACCCAATCCAGGTCTCCCACGTTGGTGGCAGGGACCTAACTTCTTGAGCCATGACTGCTTCACACAGTCTGCATCAGCAGGGAGCTGAAGACCAGAGCCGCAGCTGGGAAACAAACCCAGGTACTCTGATGCGGCACATGGGCATTTGAGCTACTAGATTAATCCTGTCCTGGGGATGTAGTTTTACACTTGCATATAATTGTATCTTCCTAGAAATGTGACATTTGAAAAAAATTGACAAATTAAGATTGTCTTATAGGGAAAGCCCACAGAGTGTCCTACCTCTGGTAGCTATTTTAGTAAAATGCTCTGATAATTCAAGTGAGTGCAGAAGCAGTCATCACTGCTTCAGGATCAAAGAGCTGCCCAGAAGGTAATAATAGAAGGCGCCATTCTTGGTGCAGGATCTTGTGACTCAAGTGGCATGGTGAAGGAACGTGGCTGGGTTTGGTGGCAGCGAAGCTTCGTTCTGGGTCAGGCTGTGCCACCAACAGTATGATTCGCTTGGCAGAGACAATCTGCTCAGCCTGTATGTTAGTTTCTAGGACTGCTGTGACAAATGACTACCAGCCAGGAGGCTTAGAGCAGAAATTTATTCCATTGAAGTGCAGAGGGCACAAGTCTGCAGTCCAGATGTGCTTAGGGCCAGAGGCTCTGGTCATCCTGGTGCTCCTGGCCATGGTGGTGCAGCTCTGCTCTGTTGGCACACTGCCTCCTTCCCTAGTGTTGCTATATGTCTCTGCTCCTCCAGGGACATTAGTCGTTGGCTTTAGGCTCACTAATGCAGAGTAGCTTCATCTTAAGTCCTTTCGTCTGCAAAGGTTCTCTTTCCAAATGAGATCATGACTTGTGGATTTCAGGCAACACTGTTCAAACTGCCACAGCCCCTGTCTGGGCCTTCTTCAAGTTTCTCATCTACAAAGTGTTCTTTAGAACTCTTTGTAGCCACCGCACTCAGTAGTTCCATGAACATTATTTAGAAAAGCTAGAGACCCAACCATGGAAAAGAGACCTAACCAGTCAACCCCAGAATCTGGGTTCCATCTCTGCAAGTTTAACCCACCTCAGATTCAAAATATCTGAGGAGAAAAATCCAGAAAGTTTCCCAAAGCGAAATCTGCATTTGCTACATGATAGGTGCTATGGTGTCCACTTGAATGAAGTGACATGCAGGCACCCCCTGCTGTAGCCACTACCATTTCATGGGTCCTCTCTCTCTCCCCTGCACCCCTGGTTTGAGTAGCATTCACTTTATGTCTGGTTCGTGTGCTGTATAGTTAGGCCTATGGTGGTTATGTCTCTACAGACTTTTTTCTTGTCATTATTGGCTAAAAAATAGCATTTATGTTGTATTAAGTATTATGACTAATCCTGAGATGATTTAAAGCTTGTGGGAGGATGTGCATAGATTATGAACATCTTTGGATTTTGGTATCCGTAGGGAGTCCCATAGCCAAGCCCCTCCAGACTCCAGGAGACTATTGTAATTCCATGAAAAAGGTGGTGGCCCTGCCTGTCTTCTGCTGTGGGCTCAGTGGCCATTGAGATGGTTGTGTGACACTTCAGTCTCCTTTGACTCACTGTAGAACTTGCTTTCAAGACCAGATTAGGAGTGTTGGCCATGACCAGAGGGAAATTTCAACATCTGAGGATGTTGATGTTACGTCTTAGGTGAAGATTATGGGAGCTGAGAGCTGAGAATTGAGGGGTCAGGAGATTGGAATATTTTGCAGGTGAAGGCATTACAGAGGATGGGATGAAAAGGAAGCTGGAAGCAGGGCCATCCATCCTGATGTCTGTCCATTTTGCCAGTGTTGATTGTATTTATAACCCCATTCAAGGGACCATGGCTATGCAAGAGACTGTATCTGTCCTCATGAAATGAACTTGGGGAATCTGAGAAGGTGGCCCCAGAGTAACTCATGGCAGTGGGGACAAGAGAGTCTCGTAAGTCAGTGATGTGGCCTCTGCAAGGCAGAGTTGCTGCCGGTGCTCTCAACCTCAGCTGACCCCTCAGCTAGGAGGATCAGCATTCTTGCAGCTCTGCAGGCCGGAAGTAGCGGGTCTGCCCAAACTCCTTCCTAGAGTAAGGTTGACTCAACAGCTGATAAGAAAGAGGGGCCTTAGAACATCTTTGCTCCTTTAAATCAAGCTTGTTTTTGGTAATTTTAATAAGAAATGGTCAAATCTGCCATTATTGCAACACTCAAAGTTTTGGAAAGTAGAAAAGTACGTGTGAAAATGGCTTCAGTGAAGCAAATACATAACAACTCTCTTAAAACAACACATTTCATACTGCTAGGGGAGTGCAGACACTCTTGATCTTAATATATGCTGTTATGGAGGTAATAGTGACCCTCCAGAAATCATGTGGTAAAGACCTAACACCCAACATGCTCAGAGTATGACTTAGTTGGAAATGAGAACATTACAAATATAATTGTTAAGATGAGGTCTTGGGGTTGATTCCCGAGCTGACATGACTGGGGTCTTTCCAGGAAGGAGAAATTTGGACCCAGAGACATGTATACAAGGAAGGTGATGTGAACAGACACAGGGGCAGACAGCTGTCTGCAAGCCAAGAGAGGCCTGGACTAGGTCTTCCCCAGAAGCCTCAGGAGCTGAACTAGGTGTTAACCTCGGTTTGGGGCTCCAGGTCTTCAGAACTGTGAAAAAATTAAGTGTGTGCAGCTTAAGCCACCCAGTGTGGCATACCTTTGTTATGGCCACTCGAGCAAAACGGTACATGTGCTGCCTGGGGATTTCTTCCTACCAGTCCCCAGACCTAAATGAGGATTAAGGAAACCCACCAGCCCCTCCCACAGAAGGTCGGGGAGAGCCTGCCCGTGAACTGAGACTTGGGGACCGTCACCTTGAGCTTCATCTCTCCCAGAGGTTTGTCCTGTGCAGCCTTTGGCAGCAGATACACTGGCAGTCCCCTCTCCTGCCTCCTTCCTTGTTCTGCCCACCAGCCTAGCTGCCACAGCTACAGTTAAGACATAGCCAGCACTGGAGGCACCTGCTGAACGGAGAGCTCCCCAAAGGTCAGCTGTGCACAATTCCTGTTTCCTTGAGGCAAATTAACAGGCGAGATCTGATTCCACCTGGGCCTCCGGCGAGGCGGGCTGAGAGAGGTCGTGGGCTTGGGAAGGCAATTCCTGCTCCTGTGAGCGGCTTCTCAAAAATAGATGCGGCTTGTTCCTCCTCACACCGGCGTGGCCCTCTTCCGCTCGAGTGATGGGGCCAAGGAAACATCTTCTCTTATTGGTGGTCTCAAAGCCATGCATATTTTCTTTTTCAGCCAGTACAGGCAACTCTGTCGTCACTGAAGATGTTAGATGTGGGCAAGTGGCCAATTTTTTCCCTTTGTTCTGAGGAAGAGCTGCAGTTAATTCGTCAGGCGTGCGTCTTTGGCAATGCTGGCAATGAAGTTTTATACAGTACGGTGAACGATGAGGTAATCCCGAAGGGATGGAAACGCAGCTGCCCACCCGTATTTTTGCTAATGGGTTTGCTATATTGCTGAGGACTAAACGGGAAAAAGAAAGCATGCAAAGTGGGTTCGTGCTTACTCCATCACGAAGCCCTTAGCTGTAGGAAGGCCGCGCCTCTCTTTGTATAATTGATGGTCTTGCCACAAATAGAACTGCTCCCACTGACTGTGGTTTTTCTCTCAGATTTTTGTGCTCGGCACGAACTGCAGTGGCTGTTTGGGGTTAGGTGATGCCCAGAGCACCATTGAACCTCGGAGACTGGACTCTTTAAGTGGCAAAAAGATAGCCTGCCTCAGCTACGGGAGTGGCCCACACGTTGTCCTTGCTACCACAGGTAACCCCGCGGACATGCAGAATTGCAGCTGTTGCTTTATTTGTTGAGAAGTGAGACTGGAGCCCACTAAACAGCCTCCTGGTTCCATGAATTCAGACCAATAAGATACTAGAGTTAAAATACACCTCCTAGAATTATCCTTAAGCTTAGCATTAATTTTATTTGTATTGTTTGAACTTAAAATAAATTCTGTAAATAATCACATAGATATTTATTTCACATTTAAACAGTAAGCTCTAGGGATTTTTGGTTTCCAGTAATAACAGGTTAGATGGTTCAGACCACCTCTTTACTGAAGACAGCTAACATTTTAGATAGAACATTTAAAAAAAAATTTATGATGGTATCAAAGCACTGACAGTTTTTAACCAGACCAACTTTTAGAGAAAATGTCTACTCAGAGGTGAGAGGGGAACTTAAAGCAGATTTTGCCTTGAAGGCATTTGCCTTGTGCCATGATCAGAGCTGTGGTTGGGATACTCAGGAGGTGAAGGGACCGGAAGTACCTTATGGGAGCCTGGTAGAAGGCCTGTCACCTTACTCTGGGACCATGAATGGTACATTCTTGGGGAAAGGATTGATCACTTCCCAAGCTACTGAACAGAAGAATTCCTTTTACTGAGCAAAGCTGTGAGAGAAAAAGAAAGAAATGGAATAAACCTCCCTGAGAGTTACAACCAGGAATTTGTAATTTAATTTACATCAGATAGGCATTCCAAAAGATGTGCAGTCTTGACTTCATTAGAGGTTCAGGACTGGAAGTGCCCTGGGACATGGTAGAAGTTAATATGCCTCTTCCTAGAAGAAGGTGCCTCATCCTGGACCTGAGTGATAAACAACCAGTGGTCCACGAGAACTGGGTATGGGAGAAAACAGGCACTGGGAATGTGTCAGAGGACAGAACTACGGCCAACTTAATTTAAAGACCTCAATTGGCGTGTATTTGTGATTCTAGAATTGGGCGACACTTCATTCCATAGAACAGAATAAATAAAAGTTTTACAAAATAGAGTGTTTTCTGATGAGCTTAGCAAGGGCGGTTGGTTTTATAAACTGAGATGGCCTGAACAGAGCAGGAAGGAAGAACAAGAAGTGTTGATTGTTTCGTGGTTCTTTGCTTGTAAGGATTGATGCAGCGGGAACTTCATGATCACGCCACTGACAGTGGCCTGTCTAGGATGTCACTCATCTCTCTCGTGATCTCCCAGACGGGCAGATACACAACTTCGTTTCTTCTTGGTGACATGGAACTTTAGCAGAAGCAACTCCTTCTTGGTTTGGTCCGCTGGGCCTCGTGCAGGAGCTTATTCCCAGCCAGTGACGTCCTGCAGATTTCATTTTATAAATGAGTCGGCAGAAACAAGAGGCAGTGAGAACTGACTACGAAACAACAGATATTAGAATGACCAGAAGCCAGTTAAAAGACAGATGTGTTTGCTATTTGAAGAAAATAAAGGCTTGAGGATACCTGTAGACATTACAAAAATTGGAAAAAGAGTCAAATGAACATGTAATTCTAAAATGAAAATTCAGTGGACAAGTTATATAGCAATGTGGACACAGCAAAAGAGAAAATACACTCAAATACAGATTAGATGAAATTGCTCAGTAGAAAGAGGCAATATGGTAGAAAATACAGATTGAAATGAATATATATTATATTACTCTATTTGAAGTTTAAATAGAAAAAACTAAATTCTTTCATGCAAGATATATATTTGAGGGGCTTTGGGGGATGATCATATAAGGTTTTATTTCCTGAAACTGTCCATATATTATATGTGTTTTAGGAAACTTTCTGACTGTGTTATATGCACAATATTATAATCACAAAGATTTTTAAAAATTAAATGGAGCTGGCATTGTAGCTTAGTGGTTAAAGCTGCCACCTGCAAAGCTGGCATCACATATAGGTACCAGTTTGAGTCCCAGCTGTTCCAGTTCTTTTACTTATTTATTTTTAAGATTTATTTATTTGAAAGGCAGAGTTACAGAGAGGCAGAGAGAGAGAGAGAGAGAGGTTCTCCATCCATTGGTTCACTCCCCAGATGGCCACAATGGCCAGAGCTGGGACTATCTGAAGCCAGGAGCTAGGAGCTTCCTCTAGGTCTCCCATGTGGGTGCAGGAGTCCAAGGACTTGGGCCATCTTCTACTGCTTTCCCAGGCCACAGCAGAAAGCTGGACGGGAAGAGGAGCAGCCGGGACTAGAACTGGCGCCCATATGGGATGCTGGCGCTTCAGGCCAGGGCTTTAACTCCTGCTCCACAGCGCCAGCCCCAATAAGGTAAATCTTTTAAAAAATAAAGATAAAAATTAACTCAGTGATCATTTTATAGATAATGAAATTAAGATCCAAAAGAGTTAAATGGCCTTCCAGTCTTTTGACTTTCAACCTCATGCTTTTACTTTTAGTCTTAGAGGCTTTTTCCCCTATGTTTATTAAAAACCTGTCTTGCAGCTATTATAATTGCATGAGTTTAAATTCCACCTTGTTCCTTTGAGTTAGAATGCAGGTCCTACTTTCCAGATAGATTCTTTTACTGAAGGAGTTTGCTGGCAAAGGGACATGGAGTGTCCTTTTGCACCTGAATTTTTAGTTTTCATTTGTGGAAGTCATGCAATACATATTTTCATAAATTAAGTAGATGCTTTGAAAGCAGATTAACTTTCTTTTTGTTTCCAGAAGGAGAAGTCTTTACCTGGGGTCATAACGCTTACAGCCAGCTGGGCAATGGTACGACGAATCACGGTTTAGTGCCCTGTCAGATCTCCACCAACCTGTCCAACAAGCAAGTCATTGAAGTTGCCTGTGGGTCTTACCATTCTCTGGTGCTAACATCTGATGGGGAGGTGAGCGCAGTCAGCAGAAAGCCCACTGACTTTATTCCAGTAAGATTCTAGTGATTCATACTGCGGTCCCGGAAGTACGGTCATTTGATTAAAATAACTACCTCCTTCAATGTCAACCTTATTCATGGTAGCAATTCATAGTTATGGTGTTTATATTTTTGATATTGACCTGTATGTGGTAAGGAGCTTTATAACTGTAAATTTTAAAATTTGTTTTTTGCTATAGTGGAGTTATCTAAAAATGAAAGTGAAAATCCACAAATGCTGGAGAATACGGTTGAAACCAAGTAAATATTTTTGTAAGTGGTGCTGATATTTGACAGTAATAATTGTTGTTTGCTTAGGTAACACCAATAATCTGACTTCATAAAATGCATTGTGTAAGAATGGGTTTTATGACAGTGTTTCTGCCTGTGCTGTGTGTCTGTGGAGCACTTTGAGAGAAGAGATGAGGTGCTGTAAGTACCGGTCATTGTCCACTTGAGACATTTGGTCAATTCATGTCCATCATTATTAATCTTTTCTCTCCAATAGGTATTTGCTTGGGGTTATAATAACTCAGGGCAGGTGGGATCTGGTCCAACAGCCAACCAGCCCATCCCTCGGAGAGTCACTGGCTGCTTACAGAACAAAGTCGTTGTGAACATAGCGTGTGGGCAGATGTGCTCAATGGCAGTCGTGGACACTGGGGAGGTAGGAAAGTTAGTTCCTATTTTGTTCAGAAATCCTGTGTGCCATTTTAGTGTCTGTCTTGGCCATTTGAATGCCACAGACTGGGTAGTGTATAAGGAATAAAGATGTATGCAGCTCATGGTTTGGAGGCTGGAAGATCCAGGGTCAAGGTGTTCCAAGGTAATGGGGCAGGTGTGGGAGGGAGCGTTCACTTTTGTAACAAAGCTGCTTCCTGGATAACCCAGGGACTCATTAATTGCTGAATGCAGGGAGACCAGTCACCTCCCAAAGTTCCCACCTCCAGATATTGTGAGCATATGACTTTAAAGATGAAGATTCTAGCACACGAGCTCTGGGGACAGACATTCACAGCAGTGTCATATGGGTGAGGTGTGCTGTTGGCCGTTGATGCACACTGAGTTTCTTGTTTTCTCTCAGGTCTACGTCTGGGGCTACAATGGAAATGGGCAGCTTGGACTTGGCAGTGGTGGCAACCAGCCCACGCCCTGTAGAGTAGCCGCTTTGCAAGGCATTCGGGTTCAGCGGGTAAGTCCACTGTCGGTCCCTGTGTGCGGAGAGTGGCAGAGATCCTAATGTAGTAAAGATGCAGTTTCCTTAGCAGGATGAAAGTGTGGCTGCTTGGCTATCCTCCTTGAAGCAGAGGTGAAAGCGGCTTTTCCCCTGAGTTAAGCTGTACCTCTTCATCCGAAAATGTCTGTTTCGAGAGCACTCTCACGCCCAGCTTTTGGAAATGTGAGTTGTTGCAGCTTTTTCTGAGGAACTTTTGGCAGTGTGTAGTAAGAGCCTTAAAAATCTTCCATGACCTTTGACTTAGAACCAAAGAGAAAGCGAGAGAAAGTGTCTTACTGAATTGTTTAAGAAGATATGGCAGAATAAAATAAGATAAAATAAAATAAAAATGGATAACTTCAATAAAAAAAGCATAGCATCATTTACTAACCATATGATAAGTTAATGATTAAATAAAGTATGCCAAATCTAGATGATGGAAATGATATTTACAAAGAATTTCAATCATACGGAAAAAGTACTATATGTCACGTTAAGTGAAAAAAAAAACGAGATACAGAACTGTATAATATGGTCATTTAAAAAGAAGCTAAACATAATGTATCTGTCTACATATAAACAGAAAAAAAAAACCTCTGAACTTGAGAGTCCAGTGCTTTTGCATTTATACTCCTCTATATTTTCCACATTGGACATGTTCTACTCTCATAAGAAAAAAGAAAATAAATATTAAAGATTGAAAGTGTCTGTTGATTGAACCAGCTCCTCCCTCCCTGAGCTGCACTGCAGCTGCTCGCGCTGGGGCTGAGCAGGCTTCAGGACCCTGTGACGTCCTGCAGTCTCATTCTGGCTACGCTTCGGGCCAGAGCTAGGCCTGGAAGGACTTTTGGTTCACTTAACGTTTGCCTCTGTGTGCGGGCAGCCTCCTTTCTCATTTTTGTTTGCCAACCTATCTAACCTAGCAGCAAAATATTTCCAGGCCTGAGTGTTGTTTTTTTTTTTTTTTTTTCTTCTTCTTCTTTCCAGGTTGCCTGTGGCTATGCACACACATTAGTATTAACAGATGAAGGCCAAGTGTACGCTTGGGGTGCAAATTCCTATGGCCAGTTGGGCACTGGCAATAAAAGTAACCAGTCCTATCCTACTCCTGTTGTTGTGGAAAAGGACAGGTAAGCTGTGCATTTTCCAAGTGACCCAATGGCCTTCAGTGACTAAAGAGGACTTAGACGTGACATAGAATTGTGGAGATTTCATGGCTAGCATTCGAGTGTTCTTTAACCAGACTATTGTATCTTCTTAGAAAGTCAGCTTTGGAATTGTTGCGCAGTATGACTGTATCCATATTACATCCATGCCCCAACAACCATTCTTTGCAAACTCCAATGGCTGAACCTCCGACCTAATACTCTGTTTTTCTTCTCTCACAGATTAGCTGTTTTCCCCCTTTTTGTTTATTTGTTGTGCATTCTTAAGGGGAAGTTGATAGCATTGAAGTCTGTCTTCTGTGGCTTAGGAAAATGAGAGGACTTGGAATGAGTGTAATGCCAGCTACTTAGCTACCTAGAAATTTGCCAGTTGAAAAGGATAAGATTATTTCACTACTTTGACTCCCAAGCTGTCACTTGGGAGTCACTGTTAGGATATGTAGACTTCATTTTGTGCATTGTGCATAGGGCTGTGTAAGTAGCTCCTGGATTATTCTAATACTTTTGAAAGCCTTAAAGTTCCCCAGGCATGGCCTGTGGTTGTCTTTTCCCTCATCTTTTTTTTTTTAATATTTGTATATTTATTTATTCAAAAGGCAGAGCATCAGAGATAGAGGGACAGAGAGAGACAGAAAGAGAGAGATGTTTTCCATCCACCAGTGGCCACAACAGCCCAAGTTTGGTCCAGACTGAAGCCGGGAACCTGGAGCTGCATCTAGGTCTCCCACTTGGGTGGTGGGGGCGCAAGCACTTGAGCCATCTTCCACTGCTTTCCCAGGCCGTCAGTAGGGAGCTGGATCTGAAGGGGAGCAGCTGAGACTCAAGCTGGTGGTCAGATATGGGATGCTAGCCTTGTAAGTGGCAGCTTGACCTGCTGTGCCACCATGCCAGCCCCTCCCTCATCATTTCTTGGCACAGCAGCATGAACCAATAACATTTCTTTATCTTTTCTTCTGTCTCTTTCTTTTAAATGACTTACTTATTTGAAAGGCAGAGAGAGAGAGAGAGATCTTCACTCTGTGGGTTCACTCTCCAAATGCCTGCAACAGCCAGGAGCCAGGACCTCCATCCAGGTTTCCCATGAGGGGACCAGGGGCAGGGTCCAAGTACCTGGGTCCCAGGCTCACCAGCAGGGACTGGACAGGAAGTGCAGCCAGGTATTCACCACCAGTCTGATCTGGAATGTGGGTCCCAAGCGCCAGCTTAACCCACTGAACCACAATGCCAGCCCCTTCATTGTCTTTTCTTTTAAAGTAGAGTTACAATTATGATAGAAATTAATACTGCCATTCTGGTTTTTACTTGTATTTATATTTTATTCTTTTTTATATTTGATTTAAAAGCCAATATATGGATAAATAGATCAGCTTGCACTTCAGTGCAGTTCCTTTATATTTTTCTATGCAATACTTAATAGTGAAAGTGAAAAGCCAAAATGTCCTTTTTTAACCACTACAGTTTTCATTTGAGCCTATGACCTTTGTTAGTTTTATTTAACTTATGTTGACTAGGGCTAAATAAAACTGTTTATTTCCTCCCAGAAATCTGGGAAGGAGACCCTTGGCCCTGTAGGAGTTGGGAAGAGGGGGGAGATAATGGAGGCAGGAGCTGGTGTGGCAGATGCCTGTCGCCACGTCATTTGCACAGCTTGTAAAAGTTCAGTGCTACCCTGAGAAACTGAGGACACAGTCCGGAGCTACACAAAAGGCCTCAGGCTAGCAAATCCAGTATTTCAACTGAATCACAAGTTGTTAAAGGTTCAATAAAGCAGGGCCAGCACTGTGGCTCATTGGGTAAAGCTGCTGCCCATAGTGCCAGCATGCCAAACGGGCGCCGGTTCTAGTCCCGGCTGTTCCACTTCTGATCCAGCTCCCTACTAATGCGCCTAGGGAAGCAGCAGAAGATGGCCCAAGTTCTTGGGCCCCTGCACCCACATGGGAGACCCAGAAGCAGCTCCTGGCTCCTGGCTTCGGATCAGCTCAGCTCCGGCCGTTGTACCCATCTGGGGAGTGAGCCAGCGCATGGAAGATCTCTTTCTTTCTATCTTTCCCTCTCTTTAACTCTTTCAAATTAATAAGTAAGTAAATATTTTATTTTTTAAAAAAGAAGATTGAGTAAAGCCAGCAGAGTTATCAGAGAGGAGCTTGGCTGCCCCTGATGGCAGACTCCGCCAGCATTGCCCAGCAGTGGCTTCCCTCACTCAGTGCACCAGTCCCTGACCAGAGCCAGCACCTGAGTCTCTGACCTGGTGTAGGCGGATCGTGGGGCGTGGAGTGGGGAGAAAGGAAAGGGAGCAGAGAGGCAGAGAGCGGAAGTGATGTGAGTGCCAGCTTGCTCGGCCGGACCTGGAGCGTGACCTGTTGCCTTTTTGGTAGACTGTGATCTTCTTGAATTACAATTGTAAAAAATTGCAATTATAAAAAAGAAGCGGAGCTAGCTTTGCATGCGTGCACTTGCTGCAGTGCACGTCAACGTGATGTTGGCTGTCGGGATCCTGGATGACTATCTTAGACGGAGGTTCCCGATCCTCTCAGTTCTCCAGGTGATGATTTCTGAGTTTGCACAGTGCCAGTCGGGCCTCCATCACTTGCATCCGGTGAGGGAGGGGCTTACTGTCCTCGCTGGGACATATCTGCATCCCTCCCCACCTTACCCCTCCAGGCAGGAACCTTCCTACTGATGAGGGGTAGGGTTGCCTGTGGGTGGGGTGGGCCTTGCTTATCTGTTCAGAGTGGAACGGAAAAAAAAAAAAAAAAAGATCTGCCTACACTGAATTCTTGGTCCAAACAACAGAACTATGTAAAAAATCGTCCCAGAGAGGTCTGTTTCTGACCTCTGTTTACCTGACAGTAATTTTGACAGTTAAAATGGTCGTCTTCCCTGTAACGCACACAGCAGCCCGGGTAGGTGGCTGCCCAGGGCTGGTCTTGCTTTTCAAGGTTGCATGAGAGCAGTGACCGCAGCGCTGGGTGTGCTTCCTGAGCACACCTAGCCCGTGGCTTCCTGAGGTCTGTGGGAAACACTCTGGGCTCCTATAGCCAGGACGGGGCGTGGCTGCTCCACGCCTCTGGCTTTGCTGTTTCTTCTCCTTCCCAAATGACTGGGGGCCCCCTTTGCTCCCTTTTCTTCCCTCCTTCTCGCTCTTTGCTTTTTCACTTCTACTTCTTCACAGGCAACAAGCCTTGCCTATTTGTTAAGAGCATGTAGTCCTGCTTTTACATTCAGAGTACCTGCAATGTGGAGGGTGAGGTGTAGCAGACATCCTGACAGTAAAGCCTTGCTCAGTGTCGAGTCACTGTCGGATGCGTGTGAGACGGGAACATTCCAGCTTCCACATTTGCTTCGTGGTATGAGTCAGGGTTGCAAACCAATGGGACCCCCAGGCAAAGGCGCGGCTCCTTGGCAGTGGTGTGGGCCCCAAGCCTGGACCCGAAGGTTCCCTGCATACTCTCTCCCCTCTCGCTCCTGCTCCTATTGCAGCTGCTGCTGCCAGCCCTGCCCACGCCTAGCCCGCACTCCCCGAGCAGGGTCAAGTGTGCCAGGTAAACCTCTCGAGGCCATACCTAGGGTCGGCCAGCATCCAGGACGCCTCCTCGGCCCTCACCCCACCGGAGTGGGAAAGGGTGACCCCTTTCATGGAGCTGGAGCTGAACACCCCAGAAGGGAACAGAGGAACTGAGTTCTCTCGAGTGTCCCATGCAGGGTTCTTCGCACAGGACCCTGCTGTGCTCATCAGTGACGGTGTTCAGAGACTTTGTCAGGGAGAAGGGCCTCGGGCCTCGGAATGGATCTTCCAGTGCACAGAGAGCAGGCAGAACACTTACCCGGCCCTGCCCTGTAGGTCCTTGTGAAGGGCTTTCATAGGCAGCAGGGAGCACGATGGGTTGTGTTTGATGGGACCTTGTGTTGTGTGCTTAGAGGGAAATAAGGCAGTGACTCAGCTTGTCAGGAACTCAATCTGCCTGAAAGTGTGAAGTTCACACACCTGGAAAGAGCAGGGCAGGCTGGTGTCTATAGGCATTGCCCTAAGAGCTCAGGGGAGGAGCCAGTGCAGTGAGCTTAGCTGCCACCTGTGACGCCTGAGTCTCACGGCTGAGCACCAGTTTGGGTCCCAGCTGCTCCACTTCTGATCCAGCTCCCAGCTATTGCACATGGGAGGCAGCAGATGATGGCTCAAGTCCTTGGGCCCCTGCCACCTACATGGGAGACCTGGATGGAGCTTTGGCCTTCTGGCTTCAGCCTGGACCAGCCCTGAGCTTTTCAGCCATTTGGGAAGTGAACCAGCAGCGATCTCTCTCTCTGTCTCTATCACTCTGCTTTCAAAACAAAACAAAACAAAACCAAAAGAGGCAGTCTCTTACCTGGAGGCTGTTTGGACAGGCATTAGGAGATGGCTTGTGAGGCAGAAAGGAGAGAACATTCCTGAACGTGGACTTCAGGACTTCGTGAGTAACCAGGTTGAGGGGCAGTGAGTACCTGTGCTGGCTGGGACAGAGCGAGCACAGAGCAGAGTGACCTGCACAGAGTGGAAGCCATGCCAGGCTGCCTTCATGTCACACGTCTGGCTCTCACCCTGTGATAAGCCAGTGTGGGTTTGGAAGGACTGATGAGAAGGGTGTTAGCCTGCTGGCTCTGTGCAGTTTGCGGGGCGAGACGGGGGAAAGCCCAGGGCCATGTTTCAGTGTCCAGATAAGGGTATGCCTAATCTGTGGCGGTGGCTGCTAGGAGTTGTTACAATGGGACAGCCTGTGCTACCTGTTAACAGGATGTTCTGCGGGATATGGTGAGGAGGGAGAAGTCAACGATGGCCTGGAAGTTTCTGAGCCGACGTCTCAGCATGCTGGCATCACTAAAACCAAGGGTTCACTGTTCTCTTTGAATCTGTATGGTGGCGTATTCTCATAGAAAAGTCGTTATCTCTAAGTCAGCAAAACAGTGTTTTCCAACAGGAAGTGTTCTGAGAGCCACTTTTCCGACTGTCGTGAACTTAGCGCCAGGATCTGTTGCAGGCTGATCCAGGAAGGCTGCTCTCCCGGGCCTTGGACGGTATCCACCAGCGGCAGAGAATCCTGGCACTTCCTGTGTGCAGCCTATGCCACTGCACCCTGAAATCGATGTGGTTGTGGTTAAAGTATTTATTTATTCACCCTGGGTCAAGATAGCCCAAATCCTTACTGCCTTCCTAACGTCAGGAAGTAATGTGTCAAGGAAAGAAAAGTTAAATCCCTCTCTTTGGTCTCTGCTGTCTTCGATTGCACCTGAATTCCAAAATGAGGTGGTGCGTGACTAGAGCGCTTCCGAAAACTTCATGGAAAATGCCTGCTATGAGAAAACTGTCCAAGGGTTTCCAACTTCTTTTGTATGAAAATAAACTTACCTTTTATTCTACTTATTCTGTGAACTGCTTAGAGTCCCCCTGAATTGTCCTAGGCCTGCTGGCTGGGAGCAGTAACAGATCCCCGTGTGTTGCAAGAGTCTTTGAAATGTGGCTTCAGTGTAGGTAACTGGTGCCCAGGATTTCAGGAGATGAGACTATGCATCTTGTTTTATTTTCCTCTTCTCAGACCCACTGTTTTCTGTAAATTAACTTTCTGGTGCTGCCCACTTGGTGAAACATAGAGGAAGGAGAAATCAAGTCACTTCTCCTGTCTACTGTGTCATGTGGTCTTTGCTTGTAAACCCAGGATCATCGAGATCGCAGCCTGCCACTCCACCCACACGTCGGCGGCCAAGACGCAGGGCGGGCACGTGTACATGTGGGGCCAGTGCCGGGGCCAGTCAGTGATCCTCCCCCACCTCACCCACTTCTCCTGCACCGACGACGTCTTCGCCTGCTTTGCCACGCCCGCCGTATCCTGGCGCCTCCTCTCAGTGGGTGAGCTGTCACTGTGCATTTGGGGCACGGCCTGAGAACTGGGAAGAGACCCGGGTGCTCTTACTTTGGTACGAAGGACTTCGTTAGGTGCAGTGCCTTAAATCTGTTTCCCTCTAATGGGCTCCTGGGAAAGAGAAGTCATTGCTTAATTTCCCTACAAGTATTGGGAAGCAACATTACTATTACAGATTTTATTTGACTGCTTTTTAAATTTTACTGGTTAACTACATCTTATTTTTAGCTGGTGTATTTACTCAAACATTCCAAAATTTCATGAGATGGTTTGGCACTTAAGAAATACACTTTTTTAAATTTTCATCTTATTTGAAAGGCAAGGTGGGTTGGGGGCGGAATTTGCAGTCCACTGCTTGCAACAGGGCTGGGCTGGGTTGAAGACAGGAGCCTGGATTTCAATTCAGGTCTTCCAAATGATAACAGGGACCCAAGTACTTGAGTCATCATCAGCTGCCTCCCATCTGCCCTCCTTCCATTAGCAGGAAAGTGAAATTGGAAGCAGAGCTGGGACTTGAACCAGGCATTCCTTTTTTTTTTTTTTTTTTTTGACAGAGTAGACAGTGAGAGAGACAGAGAAAGGTCTTCCTTCCGTTGGTTCACTCCCCAAATGGCTGCTACGGCCAGTGCTGCGCTGATCTGAAGCCAGGAGCCAGGTGCTTCCTCCTGGTCTCCCATGCAGGTGCAGGGACCCAAGCACTTGGGCCATCCTCCACTGCCCTCCCGGGCCACAGCAGAGAGTTGGATTGGAAGAGGAGCAACCGGGACAGAACCAGTGCCCCAACTGGGACTTAGACCCCGGGTGCCGGCGCCACAGGCGGAGGATTAGCCAAGTGAGCCACAGCGCCCGCCAAACCAGGCATTCTTGATATGGGATGAGGGCATCCCTAGTGGTGTCTTAACTGCTGTGCCAAATGCCCACCCCGTTGTCGCTTTGTCAGGTTTATAAGTAGATGTGTGTGAGGTTCTGTGCTATAGAGTTGCAAATCCATATTTAGGGGCAAAAGGCATTGCTGGTCAGGTTTCTCTGGGCATCCACAGAGCAGTGCTCCTCCCTGGGCCGGCAGATCCATCATGTCTGTAACTCCAGAAGCATTTGTGTCATTCTGTTAGAACCTGATGACCACCTCACTGTGGCTGAGTCACTCAAGAGGGAATTTGACAACCCGGACACCGCAGACCTGAAGTTTCTGGTCGATGGCAAATATATTTATGCGCATAAAGTCCTTCTCAAAATCAGGTAAGGAATTGTGTATCTTCAAACTGGAGAGCAGCCCATTCATTCAGCAGTCATATCCCAAGTGTCCAAGGAGCCAGGCGAGGCACCTCAGTGATTATAAAAGAATGCAAGGCATAGTGCTGCCTGGGCAAAGACAACGTGCATGGAGCAGCAAATGATACGGGTGGTGTGTGACAGGCGCTGGCTGTGTGGTTTGGGGAATCATTCCTCCTGCCAGAATTCCTTAGAGGGCTTGAAAAATGGACCCCGAGTTATGTGCGGCAGATCAGGAGCCTTGGCCGGACTCAGAGAGGCCCCCAGCTAGACTTAGTCCAGGCTCTCTGGAGTCTAAGACTACAACTGGGCCCCGTTGCCAGAGGTGAGCAGAAAAGCAGGCTTGGTGGAAAGGCAGAGGGATTAGCACCCACTTAGAGGTGGGCGTGGGCGACCTCGGAGGGAGACTTGCCCCACCCAGGCTGGGGTGTCCTTACTGGATAAGGAGTGGAGCTTGGAGCAGGAACGTGGGTTTTGGGGCGGGGCTGTAGTTTGTGTGGTGGTCTGCAGGAGGGTGTCATGTGTCTGGTGTGGGATGGAAAGTGAGGTTTAGCTGTAGGAGGAGTGGGTTGTCCCTCTTCAGTTATGTTGAATTGGCTCAGAGGGTGATGGAATTTGGGCCATGCACACACTTGGGTGTTGGCGGTCCTTCACTCCTTGGTCCCTCACTGACCCCCTGCCTGCCCTTGTCATGTCCACCTTGGCTTTAGAGAGCAGCAGCCGACACTCACTGGGTGTGTCCTGTGCTTTGAACACCGTTTTGAGGGCTTTGATGCAAGTTAACTTCCCTGCCTGGGAACTCCCAAGTCCACCTTCCTGCTAAGGGAGATCCTGGGAGCTCAGCCCAGGACAGTCACTCTGCTTGGTCAGGTGTGGGACACTGAACATTTAGACGCCTTAAAAAAGAGAAGATCAGGCTTTTCCAGATTAACAAGGACCGGGGGTGAAGTTACCACAGATTTCAAAAGTCAGAGCTGTAGATGTTTCTTTTGTGAGCAATGAACTGCATCCATTGAAAGTGTTTAGTGAGCTCTGACACAGGCACATGCCTCTGAAACCGCCACCCAGCAAGGTGCAAGACATCTCCATCATGCCACAGCCCCGGGCATCCGCCCATCCTTCTGTCACTCTAGATTAGCTAGCATTTTCTAGTTTATGAGTTTGGAATGACACAGTGTGCATTCAGTATATTGTTGTATAACAGATTGCATTAGCCAGCCTTTCATCGCTACAGCTAAAACACATGGCAGGAGCCACTCTGGGGGTAAAGAAGGCTTATTTCAGCTCATGGTTTTGGAGAGTCACAGTCCAAGATCAGGCAGCCCCACTGGTCTGGTGTCTGTTGAAGGTGGTGGAAGGCGGAACATGAACAGGGGAGGCCCCCTGGTGAGCCAGGAGGCAGAGAGACAGGGAACACACCTGTGATCTGTACTTGCAGGGCCATCAAGACTTGGCTGTGGGGCTGTACCTTAGCAACCTAATCCAACCCAGTCACTACCCAAAGGCTGTACTTTCAGACACCATAATTGCATTAAATCCCCACCCTTTTTGTGGTTTAAGCTTCTGCATGAGTTGGGAAGCCAAACTGTGTCCAACCTACGGTACAGATATTTAATTTGTACTTCAGTGACTAGCAAACCGAGTCTCATGTTCTGTGCGGCAGGGTCAAGCTGTGCAAATTTGTTCATTCTCTTGCACATAAACCTTCATAAAGGAAAACTGGGGGATGGGTTAGCTGGAACCCAGGACTAGAAACTGGTGACTTAAACAACAAAAATGTATTCGCCCGCAGTTGTAGAAGCCACAGTCCAGGGTCAGGTTGTCATCAGGACTGATTTCTTCTGAGGGCCATGACAGAGAGCTCATTGCACGCCTCTCCCCTCACCTCCGGGGGCTCCTGGCATCCGTCATTCCTTGGCTGTGGTAACAGCTCCGGTGTTCCCATGGCATTTTCGCTGTGTGCCTGTCTGTGTCTGAGTTTCCCCTTTTTATAAGGACACCCATCATACTGAGGTCAGTGAGGGCCACCCTAATGGCCTCACTGTAACTCAGTTCCCTTTGTAAAGAGCCTGTTTCCAAATAAGGCCACGTCCTGAGGCACTGTGGTTAGGACTGCAGCTTGGGAATTTTTAGGGCACCCAATTCAACCCATAACGGAGGGAGAATCAATGAAATTACTCAGATTTATAAAAAACAAGCCCATCCGGTTTGTATCAGTGCTGATCAATGAGTGTGACGTGAGAAAGAGGCCAGGGTGCCCAGCACCACTGCTGCTTGCATGGCCCAAGAGGCACCTGCGGCAGCAGTGGGTTGGCTGCCCTCTTAGAAAATGATTTCTTGAGATCTTGAGGCCAGCAGTGAAAGCCAGCAGGCAAAGGGAGGTGTGACTGTGCAGCTGCCAGGGAAGCCGCACTCTCCAAGGAAGCCGTCTGCTTGTGCCCAGAGCCAGCACCTGACCGCCTTTCCTTCTCCAGGTGCGAGCATTTTCGATCTTCACTGGAAGACTGTGAGGATGACATCATAGAGATGAGTGAATTTTCATATCCTGTTTACCGAGCCTTCCTGGAGTACCTGTACACGGACAGCATCAGCCTTTCTCCCGAGGAAGCAGTAGGTAACGGCCAAGACTCCACCAAGACAGTGGTAAGGTTAACGGACCAGGTGGTCTCTGCAGTGCCCAGTAGGAAGTCACCGTGAGACAAGCACTTTTATTGTTCGTCGAATTCAAACTCATCTCCCTTGATCGTACTTCTTACGGAGGTTGGGTTGACTAGACAGACAAGGAAGAGACAGATGAAATATCAGACCACCTACCACTGTGGCACACGGCAGGAAGTGGCATGAAGGGAGGCACGGGGACAAGAGGGCAGAGGGCATCACAGTGCCTGCCTGCGAAGGGTTTTAGGAGTGCCACTGAGTTCAAGTCATGGCCCAGATCAAGGCCACAGCCAGTTACAAAGGAAGCTGAGGAAAGCGGGCATTTCCATGCAGCCATGACCCAGCTAGAAATTCTGTGGTTTTAGATGAAAAGCAGAATGGTTTGAGTGTGTGTGTGTGTTGGGGTTGGGGTGGAGGAATGTTTGAGTGTGTGTGTGTGTGTGTGCTGGGGTTAGGGGTGGAGGAAAGTTAGTGTGTGTGTGTGTGTGTGTGTGTTGAGTGTATTTGTGTATGTGTGTTGGGATTAGGGGTGGAGGAATGTGTGTGTGTGTGTGTGTGTGTTGGGGTGGAGGAGTGTGTGTGTGTTGAGTGTGTGTATGTGTGTTGGGGTTGGGGGTGGAGGAATGTGTGTGTGTTGAGTGTGTGTGTGTTGGGGTGGAGGAGTGTGTGTGTGTGTTGGGGTTGGGGTGGAGGAATGTGTGTGTGTTGAGTGTGTGTGTGTGTGTGTGTGTGCTGGGGTTAGGGGTGGAGGAAAGTTTGTGTGTGTGTGTGTTGAGTGTGTGTGTGTTGGGGTGGAGGAGTGTGTGTGTGTGTGTGTATGTGTGTGTTGGGGTTGGGGTGGAGGAATGTGTGTGTGTTGAGTGTGTGTGTGTGTGTGTGTGTGTTGGGGTTGGGGTGGAGAAGAGAGAGAGGCAGCCGGCAGTTTCTGCACAGAAGTGCTGTGATTTGCCTTTAAAAGATCAGTAACTGAGGTGCAGGTGTGAGATCATGAGACCCTGGTGTAGCAGTGCAAGTGTTGGAGAGGTCAGAAGCTGGATATATCCGAAAGATGGAGCTGATGCGATTTGTTGATGCATGGGACATGGGTATGAGGAGAGGCTCCCCCGCCTGTAGCCACATCCTGCTCCCCCGCTCCAGCCCGCAGCCTCGTCCTGAAGCCCCCCCCCCCCCCCCAGCCTGCAGTCATGTCCTGCGATCCCGCAGCCTGCAGGCCCAGGCTCCAGCCACCCCTCCTCCCCAAGCCCTGCACGTTGGCCGTGTGGTCCTCCGCAGGGAGAAATCCCCACCCGTGTTGAGGGCGGGAACCTGGAGAACAGATGTTGGCTCTGCCAGTGTGGAAGCCCTTCCAGCAATCGCAGCTGGGGCTCCAGGGAGCCGCGGGGGTGGGATTCTGCTGGGAATGACCCCGGGTCAGAATGGGAGGAGAAAACAGAGAGAGCAGATTCTCTGGGAGTTTTGCTTGAGTGAAGAGCAGAGAACTGACATGTGCCGGGCAGGTGTCCCTTTCGGGCGCTGCCCCAGAGAGCGTGTGTGCTGATGGCGGTGACCTGGAGAAGAAAGCCACTGCTGATGGAATTGGGGTGGGGAGCAACGCGGGAGGGGCAACTGGAACCACACAGCCTGCTCTTTCCGTCTCAGGAAGCCGTATGGACACCATGCTTTGTCCCTGATTTTCCACAGCGGAGCATCTGTGGAGTGAGTGGGCTTGGTATGGCCCCCTTGGGTAGAGATGAGTGGGAGTCAGCCCTGGTCCTCGCACAGCGCCCCGAGGGGGACATTCAGCCTCATGTCCCCCTAGTCCCTCCCAGGGCTGAGTTCCAATCAGGGTGCTTGAAGCCGTCCCCCCAGTAAACACCTCTTTCCCCCAGGCCTGCTAGACTTGGCTACGTTTTATAGAGAAAACCGTTTGAAAAAGCTCTGCCAACAAACCATCAAGCAGGGAATCTGTGAGGAGAACGCCATCGCCCTGCTCTCCGCGGCCGTGAAATACGATGCCCAGGTAAGGCAGGCCCCTCCCGCCGAGTCTTCTGCCACCCGCCCCCCTCCCCCCCGCTACCCACCACCCACCACCCATCTCTTGGCGCACCTGGCCTTGACGGCTGCCTCACACCTAAAACAGAAACAAACTCTAGGTCAGTTAACGACTTCATGTACAAGAAAAAAAAAATCACAAAAGTACTAGAAAAAATATGACTATTTTTTGTGATGTTAAAGTGGACGTCAATGGCAGAAACTGACAAGGATCGAAATATAAAAAAAATTTATGTCCACCCAAAACTACCACTGAGAAAATTGCAAATTAAATGATACATGGGGGGAATATTTGCAACATACAGCAAAGCAAGTTTACCATGGTGAAAAACAAAAAGAAAATAGAGCGGTTTGATGAAAATAACAATTAAAAAGACCCCAGGGAACAAATGGATCTATAAACAAATAAAAAATTCAATGAAAACAAGACACAGCTTTTTACCCATCAGACCAGGTAATACAGCTTTAGAAACAGCGCAGGATCTGTGATGGGTGAGCTCCTAGACTCTGCTGAGCGCTACTTGTTCAGGGAGGCAGTTGGGTGGAACGTGTGTCAAAAGCCCGAAAGCCGTACTTCTTCAGCTAAAGAATTTATCTTAAGAATGTGCTCCTGGATTTGGACAAAGATTCAGCTTCAGAAATGTTCACTGTAGCAGTTGAGGGTTTAGAAAGGTGAGAAAAAGGCACTGTGAAGGGGATCGTTGAAAACTATTAATGACGCCGCCTTTCCAGATTGGTCATGTGCCAGGCTGGGATCCTGTTAGCTTTTTTTAGAAAAGTAGAAAGAACTGAACAAAAAAACCTGAGGGCTGTGATCCACGGCTGCTATTGGATGACAGGATTGTGGATGATTATTTTTTCCTCCTCTTTGCTTGTTTTTCTGAATTTCCACAGTGAGTATGAGTTGTTATGATATTGAAGAAAGGAAAGAAAATATGTCTCAGAGCTGCATCTCGAGGATACAGGCCAGAACTTCTCGAGTCGATTTCCTTTTGGTGTAAGGATATCCTCTCCTTTGCTCAAAAACAGGGACATTTTAGTAAAACAGAAAAAAAGTTATAACTGGTTTTCTGCTTATGTAGACACTATTATGCTTATTAAAGAGAATTTGGAAAATACAAAAAAGTGAGAGGAAGGAAATGACTCATCAGCCCGAGAACATGACGACTCTCAGACAGCAACTTCTGATTTTTTTTCTGTCACATTATGCACAAGGGTCCTTCAGAAAGTTTGTTGGAAAAAAAAATGCATGTTTTGAAAAAAAATATACTTGGATTTCCAAGTTTTGGGCACCAAAATAAACATATTTTAATTCCATTTTTTGTGAACTTTTTGAAGTACACGTGAATCTATCTAAATATTTGAAGGCTGGGGCTGGCACTGTAGTGTACAAGGTTAAGCATCTTGCCTGTGGTGCCAGCATCCCAGATGGGCGTTGGTTCGAGTCCCAGCTACTCCACTTCTGATCCAGCTCCCTGCTAATGGCCTGGGAAAGCAGTGGAAGATGGTTCAAGTGCTTGGGACCTGGAGGAAGCTCCTGGCTCCTGCATTTGGAGTGGTCCAGGTCCAGCCATTGCGGCCATTTGGGGAGTGAACCAGTGGATGGAAGACCTTTCTCTCTGTCTCTCCCTCCCTCTCTTTGTAACGCTGCCTCTCAAGTGAATAAATTAATCTTTAAAAAAAATACTTGAAGGCTAGATCTTTTTAACGTAACATAGAAGAAAAAATCTTACGCATCTTGAGACATTGATGGCTAAGAGCCCAGTGAATGCTTGTCATACATCAAGGAAATAATATATTGGGCACTTAGGGCATGCAAAATGCCTCCTGGCCAAACAAGATGCAGGCGCTTTTCCTGGAGTTTGCTCTTTCAGTCATGGTGATGATACTGATCTCTGGGGCGGGCTGGTGACTCAGCGCTGTCATGAGAGCCAGGCTGTATTTCTAAGACTCTTCATATGCCCTATTGATGTGGATTTCCTGGATGGTCACCTTCCAGCCCTCTGTTTTCTAGGAAGCTCGCTCCTTGAGAAATGGCTCTGTTTTGCTCACACCGTATCTCTGATGCCCGGCGCAGTGCCTGACACGCAGGAGGTCCTCGTTCAGTATTTGTGCAGTGTGCGTTCTGCTTTGCCTATAGAGACGTTCCATTTTGCTGCACTCGTCTAGCTAATTCCCGTACCCTGAAGCGGTGTGACAGACTACAAGTGAATACACTGCATGCGAACTCAGTGTCACGTTGTTAGGAAGAACAGTGTATTTGACTTAGCTGACTCTTACAGCCCAGCGCGGATTTGAAGAATGTGAAGACTAGCAAACTATAGTCCTTCCTGCTGGACTGCCACCTAGCACATACTCAGTATGAGTCAGGCAGTAGTCGAAGCCCGGCTCATGTCTCATTTACTCTTTAGAACAGCCTTTAAAAATAAAGGCATTATTATTTTTATTCCCAATTTACACAGGAAGAAACTGAAGCATGGGGAGCATAAGTCAATTCTTAGTAAGCTAGTACAGTGCAAAACTGGAACGCAATCCCAGGGTGGACACATTTAACATGTACGTGTTGCACTGCAATTTTCCTGGTCCCTTTTATTCGAGCCTGCAGTGTTTATTGATACCACAGATGTTCACTGAGTGCCTGCTGTGTGGCTGGCACTGTTCTTAGGAACAAGGGGCTCTGCAGGTGAACAAAGCTGACCAGAACTCTGCCCTTACGGAACTTCCTGGTGCAGGTGATGGGCGTTAAGTAAGTGAGGACAATGTGTAGTGCGTCAGAAGGTCGTAACTGACACAGAAGGACGTCAGCCAGGGACAAGGGCTTGGGAGTGCCAGGCTGAGAGTGAAGTGGGCACTGGGCAGGTGAGCTGCAGGCGGAGCGTTAGAGAGCAAGCTCTTAGCGGATGGATGGAGTGAGCCGGAAGGTCGCAGGTGGCGCTGTGCAGGCGGTGTGTGGAGAGAGGCAGGGTCTGTGGGCCCAGAAAGCACCGTCAGAATCTGAGCCCTCCTCTGGGCGAGCTGGGGGAGGGGCTGGAGAGGAATAGACCTGCTGTGAGCAACAGGGTAGGGGCCCGTAACCATAGCCCCCGCAGTGTGGAGAAGCCTGCGGCAGGGACAGTGGCCGGTGCGATGCGTGACCCAGCACGTGCCCAAGGTGCGTGGGCCTTGGTTATTAGCTGCGGCAATGGTGAAAAGTGGTTGGCTTTTGAGTGTGATTTGAAGGCAGAGATGAGAGAATTTGCTGCTGGATTGGATATGGGGGAAGGGTAAGGGAGAAAAAGAAAGAAAACTAAGATGATTTCCAAAGTTTCTGGCCTGAGCAGAACAAAGGATGAAGTTGTCATTTATTGAGATACGGAAGACTGGGAGGAATTTTGGGGGGAATAGTGGGAGTTTTTTTTCTTTCTTTTAAGATTTATATATTTATTTGAAAGGCAGAGTTACAGAGACAGGAGAGACAGAGAAAGGTCTTCCATTTGCTGGTTCACTCCCCAAATGGCCACAATGGCCAGACCTGGGCCTGTCCTAAGCTAGGAGCCAGGAGCTTCATCCGGGTCTCCCACGTGGGTGCAGGGACTCAAGCACTTGAGCCATCCTTCACTGCTTTCCCAGGTGCGTGAGCGGCCGGGACTTGAACCAGCGCCAATATGGGATGGCAGTTTTCCAAGTGGTGCCTTAGCCTTTGATGCCAGCCCCTGAGGCTCCCTTCTGAGTGCTGTTTCCACAGTGAACTGGGGAAGGGCAATAGCTTAGCACTGAGGCTGAGAGAGGAGGTGCAGGGCTTAAGGAGAGACAGTATGAGTCACCCAGGAACTATGCTTGAATCACAGGACAGAACCAAGGGCCCCATGACAAAGATGAAGCTGTGTGCAGTACCAGCCTTTCAAGTAGGCTACACGCCCTAACCCTAACCCTGATGGAAAACACCAGGGCTTTGTTGGGTATGGACAGAATTTCCTTATTACCAGTACCACCCTGTGCCAATTTATTGAGTCCTTGGAATCTCGGGAACTCTTTCCAAGTCCTGTCCTTGCTTAAGTATGGTGAGAAATTTCCATCCTAGAAAGTAAAGGAGAGTAGGTGCAAGTGATTTTCTCTCCCAGTAACTAGCAGTTCTGTCGATGCTGTCTGGATCTGGGAGGCCTCGCACTGCGCATCACTGAAACGCGTGTATTATGCTCTAGTTCTAGCTGAGTAGTGGAGCTACGTGCCTGTGTAATTCGGCCGAGGAGTGGGTATCTGGCGTGCTTCATTGTCATGTGCTGTAGGCACGAGTGGCCTTGCTAAGGTGCAAACAAGTACATCACTGCCGGTGGCCATCGGGCTCCTCTGTGTGTGTGTGAGATCAAGGGCGTGTGTGAACTTTAGCTGCCTCACCACAGGGGGCTTCCCTGCGTGCCCTTGCCAGCCTGCCCCGCTGTGTTCAGCTTTGCCTCCTGGGGTTTGTTTCTTCTCTTGTAAGGAAATGCACTGTGGCTTTGTGTGTACATTGGCATGGCAGTTGGTACTGCTAATGTTTCCTTTGACTTTTTTTTTTTGCCTTCAGCATTTGCTGTAATTTTTGCGTCCAAAGAAGAAAAGACCATAGAGTGTGTTGTGCATATGTATGCTTGGAAGTGACTTGGGAGCTTTATTTTATTTATTTATTTATTTTTGACAGGCAGAGTGGACAGTGAGAGAGAGAGAGACAGAGAGAAAGGTCTTCCTTTTGCCGTTGGTTCACCCTCCAATGGTCACCGCGGCCGGCGCACTGCGGCCGGCGCACCACGCTGATCCGAAGCCAGGAGCCAGGTGCTTCTCCTGGTCTCCCATGTGGGTGCAGGACCCAAGCACTTGGGCCATCCTCCACTGCACTCCCGGGCCACAGCAGAGAGCTGGACTGGAAGAGGGGCAACCGGGACAGAATCCGGTGCCCCAACCGGGACTAGAACCCGGTGTGCTTGTGCTGCAGGCGGAGGATTAGCCTAGTGAGCCGCGGCGCCGGCCGAGCCTTATTTTTTATGAATTGTCTTCAGTGCCATAGAGGGGGAATCTTTCAAAGTTGTCACCACCTGGCGGCACCTGGTGCTGGGTCAGATGGCACCGCAGCCCAGGGTCCAGGGCAGCTTGGAGGTCCCGTCCCGGCAGGTGGCCGCACCTTCCCAGGACCGTAAGAGTACTGGGTTGCCCTCACTCTGGTTCCCAAGTTTACAGTTTGTTCACCATTTTATTTGAACGACAGAGATCTCTCATCCACTTGTTTACTCCCCAAATGCCTGCAACAGCCGGGGCTGGGCCAGGCTGTTAGCAGGAAGCTGGATTGGAAGTGGTAGGGTGGGGACTGGAACCCAGGCACCCTGATGAGGGATGGGGTCGTCCCCAGCTGGCTTCTTAACCGCTGCACCAAGTGCCTGCCCCTCTCGTTTACAGTTCTAATCAGGGGAATGACTCCAGGGTGCTTCACGATATTCCCAGAGAGCTGTGCAAGGCCTGCCACGCCTGCAAGGCAGTTAAGACTAATGGAGATGCGTGATGGGATGAAATCCACTCGTCCCGCATGCATCTTCCTGCCTGGGGAGGACAAATGGCATCACTGTTGATTATGGTTCACCCTTTCCACCAGGTCTGTGGGTAGAAACAGTTCAGGCTCCCAGGGGAATAAAAGGAGGCATGCGGTGATTTTAACCCATATTGGAAGTGAAATGAACAAGTTCAAGTAGTGTCTGTGGAAAAAGGCAGTGGAGGATTCATGTCCCTGGGAGGGAGCAGTCAGCTTGTTTGCCTTCCTTGGGGAGGAGGAACTTGAATGCTGTTCTCTGTGTTATTTAATTTTTACAGCATAGATTCATAACAGGTATATGGTTTTTATAACTGTCCTGTAGTTTACCATACCAACATTTCCTCCTCTGGGCTATCCGTCCTTTCTCTGCTTGTTTTAGGAATTCTCATGCCAGCTTGCACTGCAGCAGGAAATGCGAGTTTACTAAAGCGCCTCTGTTGTTTCTAGGACTTAGAAGACTTCTGCTTCAGGTTTTGCATCAACCACCTGACTGTAGTAACGCAAACTTCAGGCTTTGCCGAGATGGACCATGATCTCCTGAAGAACTTTATCAGCAAAGCAAGCAGAGTAGGAGCCTTCAAAAACTGATGCCGCTGCAGGCAAGGGAGGGGCTTCGCTGCGAAGGCTAGAGAGCACTCATTTCTGTCCCATCAGTAGTACCTACCGTGAGCTGCGTTCGGGAATGGTTACGTTCCGTCCGAAGAAAGATGGTGTCAGTCTTTTCCATCGGCCTAAATCCAGCGTTTACATAGAAAGCAGCGAATGCTCTGGTCAAATATGACCCTGCTCAAGGAAAGAATGGAAGTGTTTTTATCTCTACCTTTTCCTCTTTTCAGTCACTTAAGTTGGGTGCCCTTGGTACATAGTTCTCAGCATGATATTGTGGACAAGGTTCCCCTATTCAGCCGGCTGGTGTCACAGATAGCTTGACAAGCAATGCTGTCCCTACCACATTTTCAGAATCCAGCACAGTGCCTTGCATAGAGTAGGCACTCGATGAATTTATTATAAATCCTAAGTCTTGTCTGGGAATAGCTTCATGGAATACTGGATAGAGCAATAACTTGCATAAAATCAAGGTAAAACAGGCTGTAATGACTGGGGTCTGTGTTCTTCTGGTACATTGTTCTGAGAAGTAGTGGCTAACTTAGAACGTTAATTAGAATTCACGAAAGGCCTTAGCACTTAAATTTTTAAAAGGCCCAAGGGCTAATTTTAATTTTCTGTTTACTCTGAGTCATTAATTTCTCATATGGACTACTGAGTATGGAATATTATCTTTGAATGAATATGATTTCTGAGCTCATCTGCCTTACATAATTATAGTAAGTCCTTTGCTGTTCTCTGTGTTGAGAGATTTGCCTCCACAAATAAAAATGATTGTGTTTTTCCTATACTTGATTTTTATGTCACCATAAATGAGTCTGTCCACCTGGCACTAGTATAAAGTTCTGGTTGAAAAGGAACTGATACTTTCATTTCATGGATGGCATTAATAAGATAAATTTCTACTTTTTAGATCAAAACCAATTTGCTCAACAACAAAAGAAACTGGAACAAGAAGTAGCATCATTATTATGTGTCTCATAATGTGGTATTATGTAAAGAAAACCCTTTTGGAATTAAAAATCTTGTTCTGATAAACTATTTGATAATAAAGTGCTTATTTACAGATAACAGAACACATGTGTAATTGTTTTATTCTTAAGAGGCAACAGAATTATAAAATAGCAGGCTCCTGTCTCAGAAGTGTAGAGATCCATGTCATGTACTATACACTTGTTTTTTCCTAAGCAGTTGTTCAGGTAAGGTCTCCAGAGCAAAGTAAATCCTAAAACAGAGCCTCAGTATTATTCACCTCATTGCCTCTGCTGCTCTTTATTGGTGAGGCAAGGCCACTTTTTGGGGGAAGGCTTTCTGTTTTAGAGTAGTTTTTGGTTCACGGCAAAATTGGGAGGACAGTACAGAGCTTTCCTTTCTCCCCCACTCCTGCCACTAGCCACACCCCCACCCCAGTGGTGCATTAATGACATGTGGTGCATCATTATCCCTCCGAGCCCATGTTTACATCAGGGCTCACTCTTGGTGCTGTACATCCTCGGGGTTTGGACAAATGGAGACTGGCCGAGCCCACCAGAGTAGAATCATGCAGCAGAGCTTCCCTGTGCTCCACCTGGTCACCCCTCCTTGGCCCCTGGCACTCACAGCAGTCTTACATTCTCCAGTTCAACCTTTTCCAGAATGTGACACGAGTGGAGGCATAGACTCTGTAGCCTTTTCAGATCACCGTCTTTCTCTTGGTAGTGTGCACTTAACCATGACCCTCCGTGGTTTTCTAGCTCATTTCCTTCCAGTGCAAAACATTACTCCCTTTTCTGGCTATATCACAGTTCATCCATTCACCTACTGAAAGAGATCTTGGTGGCTTCTGAGTTTTGACAATCATGAATGGAGTTGCTGTAAACATCTACGTACAGATTTCTGTGTGGACTGGGCTATGTTCCAAGGAACAATCAGGATCATGTGGTAAGAATAACGTTTAATTTTCTAACTGCATTAACAGAGTAGTCCCATTTTGCATTCCCACCAGCAGGGAGTGCGTTACAGTGCGCCCATGTCCTCATCAGCATTTGGTGTGTCTTCCAGATTTTGCCATCCCAATAAAGTGTGTAGAAGTATCTTACTGTTTTAGTTTGCATTTCCCTGATGACACAAGGTGTGGAGCATCTTTCCTAAGTTTATTTGCCACCTTTGTATCTTCTTTGTAGAGGTCTCTATTCAGGTGTGTAGACCATCCAAAAAAAAAAAAAAAAAAAATTGAGAGGCAGAGAGCTCCTATCTGCCTGTTCACTCCTTGTATGCCTAAAATGGCTGGGCTGAGTCTGAAGCCTGGAGCTGGGAATGCAATCCAGGTCTCCCACATAAGCAGAAGAAACCCAATTACTTGCCATTGCCTGCATTAGCAAGAAGCTGGATTCGGGAACCAGAGCCGAGAACTGAACCAGGTGTCCTGACTGCTAAGTTAAACACCTGATGCCATTTAGCCCATTTGAAAATCAGGTCATTTTCTTACTCTTTTAAGAGTTCTTTGTATCTTTTGGATAACAGTCCTTTATCAGATGTGCCTTTTGCAAATATTTTCTCCCAGGCTGTGGCTTGTTTTCTCAGTCTCTCAATGAGGTCACTCTGACTCCTTAGTGTTTTTCTTTTTTCTTCTTTTTTTGACAAATTGCTTATCCATTTTCCACAGGCCCTATATCTAGTAGAGGCAAAGCAGTCTGGATGCCTCCAGTTCTAAATCACAGTCTTATTTTTGAAACTGTATATTCTTATTTATTAGTTATTTTAAAAGCCAGCTATGTACCTTTTCCCCTCCCATTTACGGATAGACTTCCTAGTTTGTTCAGCAGAGAAACACTCAGACATGAGAAGTGCCAGCCGCTGCCAGTTCTGGCACTTAGACCCCCACAGAACTTTTCTGGGATTTTTTTTCTTCGTCTTCCTAAGCTAGCTGTCACTCACGGGCTTTCATAGCTTCCCAGTGTCTTCCCAAGCCTTGCCTCTTTGTGACAGGCTCTTCTGAAACTCCTCAGTGCTCTTTCCTGGTAGGAATCCCCTTCATATGAAACTCGGAATAATCGCAGGACAGGTTTTCCTAGTATAAAGAATGAACTGCCCTTTACCAAACTCCACCAAGGGTCAACAGCCATGAGAGGGCAAGTCAGCCCTCTGGCTTTTAATCCAGATTTTTTTTCTTTAAGCTGTATTACGTTTAGGTTTACCATGTTATATATCTCAGTGCTTCTTAGCTCTGAGCTCAATAAAATAATCTATGGGGCTTTTACAGAATATAAATTTGAGGATTGTAATTCAGTATACAGTTTGAGTGGCCCTTATCCAAAATGCTTGGGATCAGAAGTGTTTCAGGTTTGTGATATTTTTGGAGTATTTGTATATACCTCATGAGGTATCTTTAGGATGAGACCCAAGTCTAAACATGAAATTCATTTATATTTCACATCAAGCTATCTGCGTAGCCTGAAGTGAATTTTATGCCATATTTATGGTGCATCTGCATTTTGACTGTGACCCATCACTTGAGGTCAGGTGTGGAATTTTCCACTCATGGTATCATGTCAGAGTTAAAAAAGTTTCACATTTTCATAAGAGGAATGTGCAATGTGTATTTTAAAAGTTCTGCAAGTAATTCTGATGTTCAGCCAAGAACCAGATTCAGTGGTTTAGCCCTAAAACCTGTGACTCCAAACCATAAGGGAGAGTTAATTTTAGACTGGTTTGAGAGATGACACATCAATCTGAAAATGCATGCTTTTGCTCTGGGCTTTGAGGCTGGGCTTGCCATTGACACAGCCATGGGAAGGACAAAACTTCACTTCCTGCTAAAAGATGAGTGGAGAGCCCTCGAAAACTGTTGATTAGTGACCTCTCAGAGCAGAGATCCTCGTTCCTAATGGCACCACCTCAGAAATGAATGGATCCTTTTACACAAGTTTATCTTAGATTTTCTAAAGTTTCGTTGCCTCTTGTGTTTGCATAAGGAATTTTAGTGTTTCCAGTACAATTTGATTCTAATGTACAAGAAGAATGTTAAGGATTTTACAGGAGCAAAGCAGTGTCTTCATCGCCTGAGAGGTTGCCCTTTACTTTGTTTTAAAATGCCAACCTTCTGCACCATAACTCGGAGAATTTATTTGAAGGCAGAATTCTGCTATGTTTTTTTTTTCCCCTGAAAGATTTATTTGTTTGAAAGGCAAGTTACAGAGAGAGAGAGAGAAATTAGAGAATCTTCCATCCTCTGGTTCTCTTCCCAGATGGTCTTATCTGCTGGGCCTGGGCCAGGCCGAAGCCAGGAGCTGCTTCCAGGTCTCCCACTTGGGTGCAGGGGCCCAAGTACTTGAGCCATCTTCTGCTGCTTTTCCATGCATATTAGCAGGGAGCTGGTTGGGAACTGGAGCAGCCAGGACTCAAATTGGTGCTCAAATGGGATGTCAGTGTGATAGGCAGTAGCTTAAGCTGCTGGGCCATAACACTGGCACCTGGAGGCAGAATTCTTAACCAGTGATAATGAAAAGAAGTAACTGCAAACTATATAATCTTGCCTATCTCATTAGTCCTCCCTCTCTGTTATCGCAACAAATGTGTTGGGAGAATTGTGAAAAGAAAGCACACTATCATTCTGATTTTTAATTCAATATTTGCCAAAACATTGAAACACAAACCTTACTGCTTTTCTCAGTTAAATAAAAATCATAACATTTTCTGTTGAGGCAGTAACTGGTGTTGGTCTATACAATAAATTTAACCTTTCATATGAAATTATCATTATCTTGTACTTCAATACTAATATATACGTATAGTCTCGAAATAATGGACATAAAAAGCATTTACGAGACTAGAAGACTATGCCATCTTCATATTACAATAACTTGTTTCAGCCCTCTTAGCCATTATACAGTGTGGTCATATTTCTATTTAAGAATCTATCCTTTTGGTAAAAATTCAGAATTTCCAGAGGCAAGGTTTCAAACTGTCTAGCCCAAAGGAAATTTGCACTCGTTCTTTCCTCAGGCTGTGCACACTGTATTGGTCCCCTATAAAAGGAATAAAGATATGCTTAAAAAGCAAATTTCTATGGCATTTTCCATGTAATAGTAGAAATAAGACAAAGTTTTCCCCTCCACCATTTGTACCAGAAAACACTGATGAGAAATAACTGAATACATGACTTTGAACTTGTCCCTTAAAAATGATTTGTTTCTTTATTTGAAAGACAGAATGACAGAGACACATAAAGAGCAACAGGTCTTACATCCACTGGTTTACTCCCCAAATGCCTGCAACAACCATGGCTTGGCCAGGCTGAAGCCAGGAGCCAGGAACTCCATCCAAGTCTCCCATGTGGATGGCAGGATGAATTTTTCCTATGTATTTGGTGCTGCTTACAAGTTATTCTTTATTTCCTCTTCATGTTAAACCTCAACCCCACTCCCCTTCCTATCTGAGGGCTTTCTGAGTGCTAGTGCTAAGGCTTATTCACTAATAAAACTAGCCAGGTTTCCTGGAGCTGGGGGTGGATAGGGATAGGGAGATAGGCAATAAGCGAGTCAAGCAAGGCGATTTCAGTGGTGATAAACAGTTATATGTAATGTACACTTGTTAAATAAAAATTATAAGAGGCCACTGTTTTGGACTAAGCTACTGCACTGGTCCCAACAGAACATATTAAAAATAAAAATGAAGTCACTTGAGGCCAGCGGTTAAGTCACTGCCTGTAACGCCAGCAGGCATCCATATGAGTGCTGGTTGAAGGCCTGACTGCTCCACTTCTGATCCAGCTCCCTGCTAATGCACCTGGGAAAGCGGTAAGATGGCCCAAGTGCTTGGGCCCCTGCAATCCACATGGGAGATCCAGATGGAATGCCTGGCTCCTGGCTTTGGCCTGGCCCAGCTTTGGTCGGCAGCCATTTGGTGAATGAACACTAAGACTTCCCTGACTCTATCTAACTCTGCCTTTCAAATAAATAAATACATCTTTTTCAAAACATGAAGCCATGGGGCCAGTGTTGTGGCACAGCAGACTAAGCATCTACCTGAGACATTGGCATCCTGTAGGAGTGCCGGTTCAAGACTCGGCTGCTCTACTTCCAATCCAGCTCCCTGCTAATACACCTGCGAAAGCAGCGGAAGATGGCCCAAGTGCTTGGGCCCCTGCACCCATGTGGGAGACCTGCCGTGGCCATTTTGGAGAGTGAACCAGCAGATGGAAGATCTCTGTCTCTCCTCTTCTCTCTGTAACTCTGCCATTCAAATGAATTTTAAAAATTAAAAAAAAAATTTAAAAATTAAAAAAAATGAAGTCACTCATTCTAAAGTTCCTTAGGTCCACACTAAAGCTAAGGTTTTTCTCTACCTTAAGAAATTCAGGCCAGGGGCCGGTGCCGTGGTTCACTTGGTTAATCCTCCACCTGCAGGACTGGCATCCCATATGGGCGCCGGGTTCTAGTCCCGGTTGCTCCTCTTCCACTCCAGCTCTCTGCTGGAGCAGCCATCTGGGGAGTGAACTAGCAGATGGAAAGTCTCTCTTTCTGCCTCTGCCTTTCCTTCTCTATAACTCTGATTTTTAAAAAATAAATAAATCTATATTAAAAAAAAGAAGAAGTAAGAAGAAGAAAGACAGGAAGGAAGCCCCTGTGCTCAACTCTGTGGGAAGAGCATTCTAGATAGAAGGAACAGCAAATATAAAAGCCTGAGAGGAGGAATGGACTTGGGATTTTATAGAAAAAATATCAACATTGCTAAAGCTAGTGAGTAAGGAGACAGTGCTGTAAACCATAGGAGTGGCTTAATAATTTCCGATAAGTCTGAGTCAGGTAGAGGAGCAACAGGAATCAATCGATAGATTTAACTGATCATTTTTGCTCTTTATGTAATTGAAAGGGAAGGAGGAAACAGGAATAGGAAGACTCCTTGCAAGAGCTAACAGATGGGGCAGGTGTTGCGGTGCAGTGGGGTAAGCCCCTGCTTGGGACACTCATGTTGAATATTAGGGCACCTGGGATGGAGGCCTGGCTACTCTGCTTTCAGTCCAGCTTCCTGCTAAAGCACCTGGGAGGCAGCAGATGATGACCCACACACTTAGGTTCCTGCCACTCATGGAAGACTGACGGAATTCAGGGCTCCTAGCTTTGGGTTGGCCAAGCTCTGGTTGTTGTGGCTATTTGGGGGGTAAACCCAGCAGGTGGAAGATCGATCTGTCTCTCAATCTCTCTCTTGCTCGTTCTCTCCCACCCCGTCACACTACCTTTCATACAAAATAAATCTTTCTAAAAATATTTTTAAAACCACAAAGTCAATAATGACATTAAAAAAAGTGTTAATAGATGACTCTAAGCTTTTGGCTTAGAGTTAAGTGAATTGAGGAAACAGCAGGGTAGAAACAAGACATTTTTACTTGTATGGTTTTTTTATTTATATTTTGAGAAATTTGAGAGGGGGCTAGGAATTGATAGCTCTATTTGCTCTAAGAGCTTTGCCTTCTAGCAAGATGTCAGGTCTGCAGAAATAAGTCTGGGAATCACCAGGGCATAGAATCCATTAAGGGCTATGAATGGATGAGATAATAGGAGTTTATTTACAAAGAGAATGTTAGTGGAATTCAAAAAACACAACATCAGACTCTTAACTAATTTATTTTAAAATAGACCAACTATTAATTGTAGAAAATAGTAACATAGCAATTTAAAATGTACAGTTTTAACCAATACAAAACAGCAATAAAGCATTACCTGAAGCCTTATTTAAGAAATTCCAACACACGATCTCTGAAATCCCTAAAATTCTGTCACTAATTCTAATGTGAACTTGTTAGCAAAAGATCCAGAAATACGGTAAGCTCTTGTCTAAAATTTACTGATTGATATGCTATTCATGCAAAAATTAATGAAGAAATGGAATAAAGCTTTCTAGTGCCTTTGTTATTGAGATAACTGTCAACATACTAAGTTTGAGACTTAATTGAGCACAAAATAAAAATTTTGTTTTCTAACAAATAAAATCAGATTTATTTTTCAAAAGAACTCTGAGTAGAAAAAGTGACTTTCCTAAAAGCTGGCTGCTGCTATCTTAAATACCACCTATTTTAAATTATACCATCTCTAAATAAGTTAATCACACAAGATAGTTTAAATACACCTTCAGGTGTAGGGAAGGGGGAAAGCGCCTCTTCTTCTAATGCAGCTATTTTAATTTGAAGCCTTTGCACTAATAGAAACATTAATGCCTAAGTAAGACCTTCGTTTACTTGCAATTTGGACTAGAAGTAATGTGGCTTTGAATGTGCCAGTGTTAGACCATACTGACTTAAAACCCACCCACCCTCCCACCCACCCACCCACCCACACACACACACACACACACTCACCCCAGACAATTGCCAGTTCAAAGGATACACGGAAGACATGTACCATTCCAGAGAAAACACATACCTTCCCAGATTTAGGAGGGCAGAATAACTGCTGAGATGCAATTAAACAAATCTCTATGAAAACGAAAAATTAAGGCTCCTATCCTTAACAGTCTGTTTATGAATAAAGCTACTTTGTATCTTGATTCTTCAGGACCCAGAAACATTAGAAAGTGCACTTATGATATACTGTGTTAGGGTCCTCTTCAGCAAAGCCCTGGCAGGAACACATCACTGTTTCAAGTACTACATGGGTACTTATAAATTCAGTGATCTGAATGGTTTAAAAAATTACTATCAATAATCCCTCATTTTAAAGCACGAGTTGGATGAAGAATAAGTTCTTATAAATTCTGAGGTATGAAATCTGTGTCAGTAGTATGACAATATCATATGCTTATATTTTGTTTTTTGCTTGTATTTAAAACCTAAAATTTATAAAACAAGCACACAGTACATCAGCTTCCAATAGTAAAATAAAATCTAATGTGTAAAAATTAGCAATTTTTCTTAGTTTATAATAATATCTGGTGGAGCAGAAGAGTTCAGGATAATTTGGGTGCATGGGCAGTCAGTCAAATTGCATTTGGAAGACAGGACAAATTTTCTAGGGGTGTTCATGTTAAATTAAAAAATATACATATAAATTAATAAAAACAAGAGCAAACGTCACATATATGCTACAAGTGAAGGCAAAGTAGTCAGCCATGGGTGTCAGGACTCCCACTTCTGGGCATCCTTACTATCCGTAAAGCAGAGCAATTTTACTGTGGAAATGGAAATATCTGCCACAACATTCTAAATAACAGGATTTACACAAGATTTTCAATCTTGCACAGTAACAATGTATATCCCATTGACTACAACATTGCAGTAGCTTAGGAATTGCCAACACACATATTCAACTCGGATCTGCACATTTTTTATCTACAAAAGAGCTGAAAATATTAAATATGGCCATAGGCAGAACCTGGGAGACACATATAGTCACATCGTGAGAGGCAGAGGTGTCCACGGTGTCCACCAAGCTCCTGAGATCCTCACTTTTCTTCCTTGTTTGAGGTATCCATATTATCATTCATTTTTTGCTTCTGCATTCTTGTTCGAGTAGATGCTGGAAGAAAAACCGAGAACTTGTAAATAGCACTGACAGTGCTGGTTAGGTTGGCAAGGGGCTGCCGTATGTATTATGCCATGTCTGATCAATGGAGCTCAGTACCTTACAAAAGCAGCAGTCTCCAAATTTTTAAAAATAAATCTCTGGCAGTAAAACTGTTCCCAGGCATGTACCACTAAATACATATGTATGTATGTATGCATGCATATATGTGTATACGTATGTGTGCATAATTGCAAAACACATACCTGAAACCAACATTATAAAAGGACAAGATAAAATAGAACTTCCAGAATTTTATTTTTGTCCCCCAAGGATGGTCTTCCACACTCCTGGGACTTCGTAGAGGACTGTTCTAGAGACAACGAGGCTGAGTTTAGGGCACTAGAATTCTGGCCCGGCTCAGACTGGATTTGTCAGAGGGAGGGGTATTTTCTACAATGTCAGGGAATCCTTATGCTGGGACCTGTCTTGCAGCTACTGCAAAGGTATCAGCTCACAATTCATTTAGATTGGGTACTGCCATCTTAAACAGTACTGTGGCCGGCATTGTGGTAAATCTATTGCTTGTGATGCTGACATCCCATACGGGCACCAGTTCAAGTCCTGGCCGCTCCTCTTCCTATCCACCTCCCTGCTGATGTGCCTGGGAAAGCAGCAGAAGATGCCCCAAGTGCTTGGATCCTGCACCCACGTGGGGGACCTGGATAAAGCTCCTGGCTCCTGGCTTTGGCTTGCCCTCCTCTTCCCCTATAGCTGTTGTGGCCATTTGAGGAGTGAACCAATGGGCGAAAGATCTCTCGCTGTCACTCTATAACTCTGCCTTTCAAATAAGTAAAACTCTCTCTATATATAAACTTTATATATATATATATGTATATATATATATATATATATATATAAACTATAATACTGACAAACTTTAAACACCTATTTATCTAAAAATCCTTAGCTTGACTTTAGAGATAGGCAGGAGCTTTTCATAAAGAAGCACAAAGAACATTCACATTTGGAATAGAAGGAAAACAGCCAGTAGTTCTAACCCTTCCCCCACTTCTTGATCTTCCACTTTGGACAATCCAGTCTTTTGAGATGGTCTTTTTTTGAAAGCAATCCTTGAGGGCTGCTGAAAAGCATCTTAGAAAATGCCTTATCTCGCCTTTGGGGTTCAAACTGCTTGTCCCCAGTTTTCCCAGCTGCACAAAGGCCCTGAATTTTCGAGCTGGTTGAGGAAACACCTCACGGCCAAGGGTGTCGCTGGGAAATGTACCAACTTCAACAACTGAACTCTCTATCCATGTTTTTACAAACTTTCTGCTCCTTTAAAAATGCATATTTGTGGGCTCTAAAATGTTTCCATGTTTTCAAGTCCTGATATTGATTATAAGCATTATCTATCTATTATAAGCATTTATCTATTTTTATGTATGTGGTGGGGCAGGGGGGAGGCAAAACTATTTAAAACTTAAAATGAGAATATATTTTTTAGTGCAAAAATTTTAAAAATTTAAATGCTTGGTGTATTTGGTTTTAATTGTAATACAAAAACTTGTGTAGAAGAAACTCAAGGTATTGTTTTATTTTTATTTATTTATTTATTTATTTATTTTTGACAGGCAGAGTGGACAGTGAGAGAGAGAGACAGAGAGAAAGGTCTTCCTTTGCCATTGGTTCACCCTCCAATGGCTGCCGTGGCTGGCGTGCTCCGGCCGGCGCACTGCGCTGAACCGATGGCAGGAGCCAGGTGCTTCTCCTGGTCTCCCATGGGGTGCAGGGCCCAAGCACCTGGGCCATCCTCCACTGCACTCCCTGGCCACAGCAGAGAGCTGGCCTAGAAGAGGAACAACCGGGACAGAATCCAGCGCCCTGACGGGGACTAGAACCCGGTGTGCCGGTGCCGCAAGGCGGAGGATTAGCCTAGTGAGCCGCGGCGCCGGCCTCAAGGTATTGTTTTAAATAATTCATATCAGTGTTTGTATCTACAAAGACATGTTGAAGGCCTCTCCTCACATTATTATTCTCCCTGATGTGTCCTACGACCCAGAAATTATAGCTTCAACACCTTTTTTTCCTAAACATTTTTCTTCTTTCAAGTTCCAGTTCCTACTCCTATTAATGGATCTGGCATCAGGTATCAAGAAATGTCATACTCATTACCATAGCCAACTGAGACAATCCAGTAGCAGTTAATAAGTATTTCTTTCTTTCCTAATGTGAGTTCTACTATATTTTGATTAATTTTTGCAGTGTTAGAGTTGCTCAGGATAGTGTTCCACTTGCTTTAACTCTCCAAATGTATATCGCTCTAAGTAACTGAGAAAATAGCTATTGAAATTCTGATTTCTAGTAATAAACAGGACTTCTGTTTGAAATTATGTTTTAAAGTTTGCAAATTAACAAAGCTCAATAATAGCAGAATAAAATATATTTGTAAAAATTTTATTTGAGGGGTAGAGAAACTGAGAGAATGGGCTTCCCAACCACTATTCACTCCCCAAGTGCCCACAACAGCTGGGGCTGGACCTTGCAAGCCAGGAGTAGGCTGAGAACTCAATTCAGGTCTCCCACATGTATGACAGGGACCAAATCTGTGAGCCATCACTGTGTGCATTAGCAGGAAGCTGGAATCAGGAGCCAGAGCCAGGTATTGAACCCAGATCCTCCAAAACAGGACATGGGTGTCTTCACCAGTATCTTTAACCTCTAGGCTAAATGTCTAATCCTAAAAGATCATTCTTTAAATAAGGGTGATAAAGTTTAAATACGATAGGTTTCTAAAACCTTTTCCTGTACCAAACAGTCTTAAAAATTTCCTCATTGGGCTGGTGCCGTAGCACAGTAGGTTAATCCTCTGCCTGTGGTGCCAGCATCCCAAATGGGCGCCAGTTCAAGTCCCTACTACTCCTCTTCCAATCCAGCTCTCTGCTATGGCCTGGGAAAACAGTAAAAGATGGCCCAAGTGCTTGGGCCCCTGCATCCACATGGGAGACCCGGAAGAGGCTCCTGGCTCCTGGCTTTGGTTCAGCGCAGCTCCGGCCGTTGTGGCCATTTGGGGAGTGAACCAATGGAAGGAAGACCTTTCTCTCTGTTTCTCCCTCTTACTGTCTGTAACTCTACCTCTCAAATAAATAAATAATCTTTTTTTAAAAAAAAGAGTTCCTCATTACAATTCTGAAGTATTTTCCAACAGTCATTTTGTGTTGAAGATGTAGTCAAGCAGGATTTCACTTCTTAGTGTTCCTACACCAAGGATTTTAGAAGGGGTGAAGACATCCTTCACGTTGCTTCATACTCAATCACTAATGTTTACAGGTACATAATATGGTCTTGATTTACACTTTAAATGCATAAAAGAGTCTGCTAGTTGAAAGAAATATGTATATGTATATTCTTTAATAAAGTAAAAAGACTGCAAGATAATCAATTTCTTCTTTCATTTACATAAGGTCAGATGATAAGTACTTACTCATTTCTGCAAGTTTCTGTTGAAATTTGGACTCCCCTGGAATATGTTTACTGCAGATTAAAAAAATACAAAATACTTAATTTATACATGTATAAATGGAAAACTCAAATTTCCAGTAACTGTATTGCTTTCAATGATTTATTTTATGTTATTTCTTTGTGAGTAGCTTTTAATTTCAAAGATTTATAAACTAACTATTTAAAATATAAATGCCAAAAATTTGATCCCATATATTTTCCAGTATTTTTCTAAACACTTTTAAATCTAATGTTAAAACTAACAAAATTTTATCAATAGCTTTGTAAAAAAAAAAAACAAAAACAGATCTTTAATGCCTGATATCTTCTCTGAATTTTGGAAGACAGTAGTATAATACTTGTTTAGTGTTTTTAACTTTGGGCTACATTCATAGCTATTATTTTGAGCCATTCTCACAATTTCCAAATGAAATTGGCTTGGAAGGAATTGGTAGGAGCGGGACGAGAGCTAGACTCAGGGTTTCCAGATGACTGGCTCCACTCCTGGGAAACATCCTGAAGTGGTTCCTACCTTCCATCGGCTTCATCCGTTCCTTCAATATCAAAACGCAGTTTTTTCAGGGGTTTGGGAGGGTTGCTTCCTTCAGCACTTCTTTTGAGCACTCGATCGCTGTTACATACCATCTGGTTTATTTTCTGGAACTTCTCAGAAGTCTACAAATTACAGAATTCTTTAAATCATTAGGTGGCAGCGTTTTATAGTTAGCAACCCCAAACTGTAGTTCTTTTTTTTTTTTTTTTTTAAAGATTTTATTTATTTACCTGGGAAGTAGGGTTACAGACAGAAAGAGGGAGAGACAGAAAGGTCTTCCATCCACTGTTCACTCTCAAATGGCCACTATGGCTGAATCTGGACAGATCTGAAGCCAGGAGCCAAGAGCTTCTTGCAGGTCTCCCACATGGGTACAGGGGCCCAAGCACTCAGGCCATCTTCCACTACTTTCCTGGGTTATAGCAGAGAGCTGGACCGGAAAAGGAGCATCTGAGACTCAAACTGGCACCCATATGGGATGCTGGTACCACAGGCGGAGGTTTAGCCTACTACCACAGCGCCGGCCCCCAAACTGTAGTTTTAAAGGGTGTCAAAAAAGCAGGCAGAGGTAATCTCTTCATTTTAATTTTTTACTCTACTGGACCAAGTTAAAGGTATGAAAAATTTCAAAATCAGAGTAAACTGTACCTAATTCTGTCCCAGCCACTCTTTGTAAATCCTCCTGTCTTTTCCCATGAGGCTCCCACTCTTTCTCAACAACCCTGACCACCCCAGTGGAAGCCCTGGTTCCTCATTTTCAGAACTCACCCACACACAGAAGCAGGGCAACTTCTAAGAAGCAGCCAAAGTTGGAACAATAGACCTGGTTTCTGTTAGCTTTTTTTTTTTTAAGAATATTATATAACTAGAGGGATAGTCACAGGAATTTGATAAGAGGGGATGGGTTCGGTGGATACTTTTTAATTCACTTAATGGGTATTATGTTGATAAGTCATATAGTTTACATATTTTAAACTATCAATCTATGGTATTTGTTGAAATGCTGCTAATTCATAAAGTATAAAAAATTTAAAAAATCCCAAGAACTACAGAAATTAAGTGTACCAGGAGTGTGTGTGTGTGTCCCCTAAGGGAGAATCCTGAGACAGCAAAGCAAAAACCTTTGGTAAGAAACACTAACGTGGGGACTGGCAAAGTAATAGAAACACACATTGCATGTGGGACTGAATTAATAACATTAACAGGAGGCAATTAGAGTAGTGAGTTCTCAGGCTAGAATTAACTTTCAAAGTTAAGCTTTCCCTTGGATCTCTTAGAACAAAGATTAGCATACCTAGGCCCTGCCATTTTTACTGAGGCGGGGATGCATGTAACCAATTCCTAGTCAATATTCCAGGGAAAGACTATCCTAGAAGCTTGAAAGGAAGAACAAACAAAAGAGTACACACAAATATATGGAATGAGAAGACCAGTGGTGACATCTGATTGTGGTGCTTACAGTTTGAAGTATCTCATTTCAAATCATAATCATATTAGTGAGTTTCAAAACTATTTTGTAAACATTTCTGTGGGATTATATACATACACATGTGCTATCACAGAAAGATTTTTAGTCTTTGTCCTGGGTTCCTGGGACAGGGCTCTAATACTCTTGGAACTTCCTGAATGATAAGGGTGATAGGACCATCTTTGTTCAATGCTTTTTGGGCTCCTAGATAGCAGCAGGATGGGGGCTGGTCACCAGAAACACCAAGCCTTGACTTGGCACTTTCAGTGACACACCCATAACCTTCAGGGAGGGGTGAGGGGCTAGAGACCCTGTTTATCAATTATACCTATATAATCAAACCCCATAAAAATTCCTCAACAACAAGGTTGAGAAAGTATTGGAGTCAGTGAATTCCACAGGGACAGAAGCTCCTGTGTGAGGGACCCTGCTGCACCCAGTCCCATATTTTTCTTCATCTGGCTATTGGTTTTTTATCATTTATAATAACTTAGGATAAGTAAAGTATTTTTCAGAGTTTTGTGAGCCACTCTAGCAAATGACCAAACACAAAAGGTGAGAAAGGTATTATGGAAACCTCAATTTTAACCAAGCTGGATGGGCCTGACCCCTGTGATTGACTTCTGAAGTGAGGACAGTCTTGTGGTATCAAGCTCTTGAACCTGGAAACTGATATTAACTCTAATTAAGAACTGTCAGAATTGAATTGAATTGAATTGTAGGACACCCATGGGATTGGCAATGTGGCACAGCAGGTACAGTTGCTGCCTGTGACATGGCACCCCATGTGGGAACTGGTTGGAGTCCTGGCTGTTCCACTTCCCAACCAGCACCCTGCTAATGTGCCTCAGTAAACAGCAGAGGATATGAAACCCAGATGGAATTCCAGGCTTCTGGTTTCAGCCTGACACAGCCCTAGATGTTGCAGCCATTTGGAGAGTGAACCAGCAGATGGAAGACAATTTCTTTCCTGCTCAGTCTCTTCTTTTTATAACCCTTTCAAATAAATAAATAACCTTACAAAAATGTAGGACAATATTTTATGACCAGAGAATTGGAGGATTGGCATGAGAACAAAACCTCACATTTGGTGTCAGAAGTATGATTTGTTAAACCATCTCACAGATACATTCATGTATACACATGAATGTCTGTATAGGTATTATATAATCTTGAAGGAATGCCTAAGCACCATTTTGAAGTTCACCAATTATGAGTATGATTTATATCTATTACTTATTTAAAAGTAAAACTATATACTTAGAAGATACACATGCAAAATGCCTAGATGAATATCTGAATAATAGAATAATAATAGAATAACAGAATTTATCAGTTCAAATTATAGAAATATTTTATTCCTTATGGTTATGGTATATGCCATTATGTCTCATAGACAGAAAATTACTCACCCCAAAAGATTCACCAATTGATACTAAGATTCTGTCAAGTGAAGATGAAATACAAATTAATAATGGAAACCATACAGTATTGCACAGAGATGAACACAGACACATCATTCTGAACTATCAGCAATTCTAAATCAAAGGCTTCCTTTACTCTAGATCCTCTGACAAACTATATTCATTAGGGGCTTATTCTAACAGTGCTAGTCTAATCAAACACTCAGCTGGCCTCTTAGGTTTTTACAGAGAGAACTGAGAGTCTACAAGAACATATTCTGCCAAAGCTCACATTTAAAGAGGGTAAAAGATGGTTTAAAGTTTACCCTTATTTGGTTCTCAATGGGTAAGTTATAAAATTTCTTTCACATTTCCTCATTTAAAGTTCAAGTTATATCTGCCAAAACTTACAGTACTAAGTAATTATCAGAATTCTAATTAGTATTTATATTGTATATAGTAAAGGCTATTTATCAGATACCCTAGAATCAGAGATAGTTATTAGTGTCTTTGTTTGAACTATACAATTTATATTCTTATAATAAAGCTGAAGAACATATTTAGCCTCACATAACTCAATAGCTTTGAAAATATGAACATGGAACTAGAAGACCCATAGATGTTATTGTCTTCTAACTCCTTGACAAATAGTCATCGTTACACACACACATACTTGATTAACTACAATATGTAAATATGCTGGATAAATAGTGCTCAGATCCTTTCTTAATGCCTGATTAATGACTTACCAGTTAGGCTTTTCACAATATGACTTTTTTTTTTTTTTGGTAAAGAATACCAACAGAGAATTGATTTCACTAGGATCAGCAAACAGCCTCTATTATTACCATAAAATGGATTAATTATCATTATTTTAAAAACCACCTGCATGTACATCTTCATGTGATGGCATGGAACTGTGTAAATTTATTTAAATAAACATGGCATGGCATCCTAACAGCATATACATTAAAAATATCACTGTGTAGATATCTAACTGTAAGGATACCAAGTAACTAAAGAATGGAGCACAGAAGAGCATTTGGAGCATATTACCATTTTTTTTTTTACTTCATAGTTTTCTGTAGAGTTTAAAATTTTCTGGAGATGTATTACTTGCATTTTCTGAAAGGCTAATTAATGTAGCTCCTTATCCTTATTTGTTTTTCTTGCCCATTAGGTGCCAACTATATGGGCTGACAATTTTTAAGGTGAGACTACATTAATTATACTAGTTAATCTGCCTCCCACTTTAGACAAATAAAGTCAGTTTCAACTAGCCCATGATAACATATAATTAGTCAATTGAAGCACTTCAAAGCCAGAGAGTACTTGTGCTTGGATGTGGAAGATAATATAATGATTTGTAGTTGCACATAACCTTTCATCTGAGAATTTAAAAAAGCTTTACACATCATTTCCCTGGTCCACAGACCCTTCTGAAGTAGAGACAGAGACCTGCCCACAGTAATACAAGGAGGCCAAGGCAGAATTAGGGATGCATCCTAAATACTTAATTGACAGTCATCTACATTTAGTAAGTCGTCCCCAATTTTATAATAAGCAAAATGAGTAAGGTATAAAAGGAGTTTACAGGGCATTCAATAAATTACAGACTAAAAATTTTTAAAACTAATGTAACCTACTTTGTTCAGCAGATTGGCTACTTACAAAAATATGAAAGTGCTTTGAAACATATAACCAAATCGGGTCTCAAGCTGTTTACAAAATGAGAGACCCCAATAGCCAGGAAAGCTGATGAGTAAATTTGCAAACAAGCAAATTTTTCTTTTCCTCCAAATTCTTATAATGTCACTCAATATAAACAAGCAATTGAGACTCAAGAGTTTAGTTTATTTTTAAAACAAAGAAATCTTTATGGTTTTATGCCTGGATCAAAATACTCCCTCATTATTTTCCATATCCCTAAAGAGAAAACACAAACCTTGATCTTGGAGTCATTTTTGTTGGTGTTGGCAAACCTTCTGAAATTTTATATGGACTCTTCAGGGGTGATATATAGATATTCCCCCCAGGAATCCGTAAGGGCGAACTAGAAAATTTGTAAGGGCTTCGAGGAATGTGAGGTATTGGTGACAAGGTAGGGGGCTAGAGCAAAACAAAAAAGCGTATTATTTAATGTGTTAGTGGCATTCACTACAATTACATTTTCCCAATGAAAGAATACTTTGTACATACCCTGGTGGAAGCATACTGCAAAATATTTGTTTTCAGCCTCTGCATGAAGACCGAGTTGTAGAATACTATAATGGAGTCATATTCTTCTTCTCTTATCAAAACACGTTTGAATGTCTGAGGAAGAATAACAGACACTTGCTGAATGAACTTAGGAATTCCTCTCTTTAGGCTTAATTTTATGTATTTTGTAATTTTCTTTACCTAGTGAGAAACATCTATTATATAGGAGAAAATAACCTGAAAAAGTCTTCTTAGTGTGTAGCTGCTCTAAGAGAAGCAAAAGACCACAGAATGATCCAGAAAAGCAGCAGGTAGCAGAGCAAAAAGGAGCAAAAGCAAACAATTTAACCTATCAATATTGAAACCACGTGGGGCCGGTGTTGTGCCACAAAGAATTAGGCATCTGCTTGCAACGCAGGCATCCCATATCAGAGAAGCAGTTGGAACCCTGGCTGCTCTACTTCCAATCCAGCTTCCTGCTAATATGCCTGGGGAAGCAGAGGAGGATGGCCCAAACACGTGAGCCCCAGTTAGCCATGTGGGAGACCTGGATGGAGTTCCAGGCTCCTTGCTTCAACCTGACCCAGTCTTGGCTACTGTGGCCATTTGGGGAGTGAAGCATTGGATTGAAGATCTTTCTTTATCTGTCTCTTCCTCTCTCTGTCACTCTGCCTTTCAAATACATTTTTAAAAAATCTTAAAAAAGAAAACATGGAAATCACATTCTCTGGCTTGTATCTCCTTGCTCCTCTCCCCTGCTAATCTTTAAGAGTTCTAAAAACATGCATTCTCCCATTGCAAGAAGTAGATACACAGCAAAAGCAATACAATTTTTGAATAATTTTATTAATATTTTAGTTAGGTAAAAGCACAGGGGTTTTATAGTACACAGATATTAAAGTGAATGGATTCAGAAAATAACTTCAAAAATATAAACAAAAATAACCTCACGTGTATTACTTTTGAAAACTCCACTGATAAACTAGAAATGCTCAGTTTTCAACCCATCTGTCACAGGGTATAAACTGTGTGCCACACCAAGTGCATTTTATCACTGTTGTTGATTCTGTAAAGAAAGGTAAACTAGAAACACAATGTGTTTGCACTTAAAGTTTTTATTATTTCTTTCTAAGGCTGTACTTACATTGCCTTTTCCTATGCAGTAATAAAAATAATTTAGAGTGACATCTGATGTCCTATTACTTTTTTTTTTTTTTAAAGATTTATTTATTTACTTAAAAGTCAGAGTTACACAGAGAGAGAAGGTGAGGCAGGTGGAGAGAGAGAGATCTTCCATCTGTTGGTTCACTCCCCAGTTGGCTGCAACAGCCAGAGCTGCACCAATCTGAAGCCAGGAGCCAGAAGCTTCTTCCGGGTCTCCCATTTGGGTGCAGGGGCCCAAGGACTTGGGCCATCTCTACTGCTTTCCCAGGCCATAACAGAGAGCTGTACAGGAAGTGGAGCAGCCAGGTTTCGAACCAGCACTCATATGGGATGCTTGCACTGCAGGCCATGGCTTTGCCTGCTATGCCACAACGCCAGCCTGATGTCCTATTACTTATGTCAAGTTTATTATAATCATCCTGTACATTGCTGGTATGCAGTATTGTTTATTAAATTCATTTAAAAACTATTAATTTGGGCGTGGGACTTTGGCACAGCAGTTAAGTAGTTGCTTGGGATACCAACATCCCACGTCTGAATGCCTGGTTCCAGTCCTGGCTCCTCCCCATCCAATCCAGCTTAGCTCAAGTGTGGGTCCCTGTCACCTACATGGGAGGCCCAGATGGAGTTCCAGGCTCCTGGCTTTGGGCGGGCCCAACCCTGGCTGTTGTGGGACTTGGAGGAAGGAACTAGTGGATGGAAGATCCCTCTGTGTCTGCCTCTCTCTCTCTTTGTCTCTTTGCTTCTCAAATAAAGTGGGGGGAGGGGGGACTTTACAACTTGCCTTGGCTTTTCAATTCCACTTTAGATACAAATAATCAATAACAAAAATAAATCTTGATTTTTGAATTTACTTAATAAGGTCTGAACATATGATCTAATTAATGACTGAAATGATCTGTATTATGGAAATGGATTTATCAAAAAAAATCTTGCCGACGCCGTGGCTCACTAGGCTAATCCTCTGCCTGCAGCGCCGGCACCCCGGGTTCTAGTCCCGGTTAGGGCACTGGTTCTGTCCCGTTTGCTCCTCTTCCAGGCCAGCTCTCTGCTGTGGCCCGGGAAGGCAGTGGAGGATGGCCCAAGTGCTTGGGCCCTGCACCCCATGGGAGACCAAGAAGAAGCACCTGGCTCCTGGCTTCGGATGGGCATGGCGCTGGCCATAGTGGCCATTTTGGGGGGTGAACCAATGGAAGGAAGACCTTTATCTCTGTCTCTCTCACTGTCTAACTCTGCCTGTCAAAAAAAAAAAAAAAAAGAAGCAAAAATTTAAAAAAATTTTATAATGAAAGATCACTTACCTCCTGAACAGCATGAGGAAGATCCTTGTATGCTGTCACAATGATTTTGAATTTAAGATCTATGTTCTTTACTTTGCATATGCCATACATGGAACACATCATAATCTAATAAATAAATGTGATATAAAAACAGTCAACATTTTATTACTTTTCTTTTGGCTTCAAAAAAGGGTAATTTAATTTCCTAGAAGGTTATTTTGTTGTATCCCAACCCCAGCCTGAAAGTTTATGTGAATTGTTTAACCAAAATTGTGTTAAAAGAACAATATGCAAATAGATAACACTAAATTGTTCAGGACTGATTATATGGTTGATAAATTACCCTAACTTTGTCTCCTCTTCCTTAAATGTTTCCCAGAAAAGTTGAAACTGGAACCTCCACTTCAAAAAAGCCAGGTGTGAGAAGATTAAAACTGCTGGGTAAAACAATATAGACTATACTTGATGGTGATGGTAGTAAGAGGGACATAGTGATTGCAAAAGGGCATCTGTATTGCTGATAGTGTTCTGTTTCTTGACATGGATGCTGGTGGGTTCAGCTGAAGAATTTCCATTCAGATGTACATATCTTTTTGATACACAGATTTTCTGTATGCATGTTACATTCCAATAGAAAGATATTTTAAATATAAAACTAAGGTTTGAAAATATGCCCTGTGACTTTAAATCATCAAAGTGTCTTAAATTTATTGCCTAATTTACATATCATCACTTCTGCAACATTCTCATTTTCATCTATTGCCAAAAATACCTACTCAGCATCCTGCCAACCCAAATCTACTATTCCTCCCACCTAGAGAATCATTCGGTATTCTTCTTTACTAATTCACATTTTTCTTCTACTTTAATATTTTACCTAAAGCACCTTTCATTTAAAAATAATCTTGATTTCAGAGACATACTCTTTAGAAATCCCTAGCACTACAATGTTTTTACTTTGTGGAAAGAAGTAGAACCATAAAGCAACAAATACCTATTTTTAAAAAACACCAAAGTACTAGAATTTATACATCTAATTAAGCTCTTACAAAATACACATATTAGAGTAGGAGATTGGCCAGTAGTTATGAACCACATCTCACATTGGAAGCTCTGCTCCTTATTCCAGCTCCCTGCTAATGCACACCCTAGGATGCCATAGGTGATAGCTCATGTAGTTGCATCCTTGCATTTAAGGAGTGAACAAGCAATGGGAGCTCTGTTTGTTTCTTTCTCAGTCTTTCTCTCTCCAAATAAATAAAAATAAATAATATTAAAAATAAAATGTACATATTTTAAAATTATATGTTCATGTACCAATCCATATTTTGCCCAAAATATTATTCTTGTTGGGAGCATTACTAACAACCTTAGAGAAATAAAATGATGATTATGCAATATTTATGAACAATTGCATATCAATAAAACAGGCAACTAAGATGAAATGGAAAAATTCATGGAATATCACAAACTACCAAAACTGACTTAAGAAGAAACAGAAAATCTGAGCTTGAATTAGTAATCAAGCTATTCACAGGGGGCCAGCGCCATGGCTCACTTGGTTAATCCTCCGCCTGCAGCACCAGCATCCCATATGGGCGCCAGGTTCTAGTTCCGGTTGCTCCTCTTCCAGTCCAGCTCTCTGCTGTGGCCTGGGAGGGTAGTGGAGGATGGCCCAAGTCCTTGGGCTCCTGCACCCACATGGGAGACCAGGAAGAAGCACCTGGCTCCTGGCTTCGGATAGCACAGTGCTGGCAGTAGTGGCCATTTGGGGAGTGAACCAATGGAAGGAAGGAAGACCCTTCTCTCTGTCTCTCTCTCTCACTGTCTATAACTCTACCTGTCAAATTTTAAAAAAAAAAATCTATTCACAAAAAAAAAAAAAAAAAAAAACAAAAAAAAAAAACAAGACCAAGAGGGCTTTACTGGTAAATTGTACCAAACATTTAAAGAAGACTCAATACCAATTCTTTACAAAGTCTCCTAAAATTAGAAAAGTTCCAAATTAATTATATGATGTCAGTATTTTTCTAATACTAAAACCTGATGAAGACATCATAAGAAAATGACAAATACCTCTTATGATTATAGATTCTAAAAATCCTCAACAAAGTAATAAGCTGCATCTAGGAAAACAGTTATATACTGTGACTTGGTGGGATTCATTCCAGAAATGCAAGAGTGGTTTAACATCTGAAAATAAATTAATCTAATACATGATAGCAGTACAATAAAAGGAAAAAACCATATGGTAATCTCCATAAATATAGTAAAAGAATGGGACAAAATCCCACATTTTTTCATAATGAAAGCATTAAAGAAACGAGGAATTCAAGAAAACTTCCTCAAACTGGTAAAGGGCATATACAAAAATACACAGGGGTAACAACATATTTAATTGTTAAAAGACTGAATACTTTCCTCCAATATTAGAAACAATGCAAAGAAATCTTCTCTCAAGCCACTTCCATTCAACATTGGAGGTTGTACTAGAGGTTCTGGCCAGGGCAATTTGGCAAGAAAATGAAATGAAATCATTCAGACTAAAAAGGAAGCACTATGTACAGATGCCATGGTCATAAGTGCAGAAAAGCTTAAGGAATCCACTATAAAATATTAGAACTATTACGTAAGTTTAGCATGGCTACAGAATACAAGATCAATATAAAAACATCACAATACTTGTGTTGAAAAATCCAAAAATGAAGTTAAGAAAGCAATTCTGTTTATAATATTGTTAAAAATAATAAAGTAGTTAGGAATAAACAATAAAACAAGTATAAGACTTGTAGTTTGCAGGCTATAAAAAACTGCTGAAAGAAACTAAAGATGGTTTAAATGAATGAAAAGATATCAGACATTCATAAATTAGAGGACTTAATGTTGTTAAGATGATGATATACCCCAAATTGATCTACAAATTCGATGTCATCACTATCAAAATATCAGCTGTACTCTTTGAAGAACCTGTCAAGCCAATCCTAAAAATTCATATTAAAATGCAAGTTTTAGAATAGTCAAACCCAACAATGTAGAGCACTCACACTTTCTTAATTCAAAGCTGTAGTGATCAAGACAGCATAGCCCTAGCAGAAAAAATGACTATATAAGACAATGGGATAGAACTGGGATTTCAGAAGTGAACATTTACACATTTTAGTCAATTGATTTGTTTCTTTTCAAGAAATGGTGCTGAAACAACTAATTATTCACAATCAAAAGAATGAAGCTTGGCCCTTACTTCACTCCATATATAAAAACCAGCTCAAAACTGATCAAAACTTAATATAAGGGCTAAAACTATAAAACATTAGGAGGAAAACAGGAGTATATCTTAATAACTTCAGATTTGGCAATGATTTCTTAAACATAACATCAAATCACCCTTAATAAAAGATAAAATAGATAAATTAGACATCATCAAAAATTAAAAACCTTAGAATAGAAAGAAATGTCTACAAATCAAGTATGGCATAAGAGAATTGGATGGAGAATATATAAAGAAGCCTTGTACCTCAACAATAACAGGAAAAATAATGTAATTGCAAGATGAGAAAAGGACCTTAGACATTTCTCTAAAGAAATACAAACAGCCAATAAACACATGAAAAGTTGCTTCCATCATTAGTGATCAGGAAAGTGCAAATCAAAACTACAATGAGATAACACCACATACCCAACAGGATGGCCATAATAAAAGATGAAAAACAAGTTGATGAGGATGTAGAGAAACTGGAATATAATACACATCTGTTATGAATGTAAAATGGTACAGTCACTTTGGAAAATATTTATCTTCTATTACCATGACACAACAATTTTAATCCTCAGTAAACACCCAAGAAAAATCAAAACATATGTCCACATAAAACTTGTACATCAAAGTGAATAGTAACACTATTTATAATAGCCAAAAGCAGAAACAATACAAATGTCCACCAACTGGTGAATGATAAACATAAACATAGTATATATCCATATAATAGAATATTATTTGGCAATAAAAATGAATGAAATACAATCTACAACACAGATGAACTCTGAAAATTTTATGCTAAGTAAAAGAAGCCAAACACAGAAGATCCTATTTATATAATTCCATTTATATGAAATGTCCAGAAGAGGCAAATCCATAGAGACAAAGTAAATCAGTGTTGCCTAGGGCTGAAGGGGGTGGGTGATGGAGGGAGGTGACTGCTAAAGAATATGGGATTTCTTTTTCATGTGATGAAAAGGTTCTAAAATTGATTGTGGTGCTGGTTGTACAACTCTATGAATATACTAAAAACCACTGAATTGTAAATGGGTGATATGTATGGTATGTGAATTATAGCAATAAAGAAGTAACCAAAAATGTTCTTATTAACACATTTTACAAGGAAGAAAGTGGAGGATATGAGAGGTCATTCTCTGTAAATACATATAAAATGCTTCCCATTCATAAACTGATTCATTAAATAAGCAATTTTAGATAAGCTTATTCTTAAATGTCATGCTTTTTCCATACTAAAAGGAAATCTAGCTTACTGCAACATAGAAAAAGCCTAAGACACACAGGATCTTCAGTGATTTTCTGTAAAGATCTTTTGTGTCATTAAATTACTAAATAACTTGTCAATAAATAAAGTTACTGGGCTCTATTTTGTAAGAATAACAGAAATATAAATGAGAAACATCAAGTGAATACAAATTAAGTCTATAAAATAGATCTACGTTCTCATTTCCACTCTTTTTTTAAGAAATCAGTATACAGTTAACAAATAAGTAGGGAGAAGAGAGGAGGAGTGCTTCATTTTCTTCTTACCTGGTCCAAATGCCTATCTCTCATGAGTTCATACTCATTTTGCAGAGTGTGCTGGAAAAGGGTCCAGATGATGTGCTCTAGTTCTGGGTGGTCAGACAGAAGGCGTGCACATAGGGTATTTAGTCGGAGATATGCTAGCCGGTACACTGTGGAGATAAGAGGAGTAAATCATGTTTAGTGTTCATTTTGAATTACAAACAGATTACAAGATTTTCTGCCATGAATTTTTGAAGATCCCTTGCACACATCGATTGCAGTTTTTTGCACCAAAAGGAGCTTATCTTTTAATTTCATTTTTTAAAGATTTATTTATTTATTTATTTGAGAGGTAGAGTTACAGACAGTGAGAGGGAGAAACACAGAGAAAGGTCTTCCTTCCATTGGTTCACTCCCCAGTTGGCCACAATGGCCAGAGCTGCACTGATCCGAAGTCAGGAGCCAGGAGCCAGGAGCCAGGAGCCAGGAGCCAGGAGCCAGGAGCCAGGAGCCAGGAGCTTCTTCCTGGTCTCCCACGTGGGTGCAGGGGCCCAAGAACTTGGGCCATCTTCTACTGCTTTCCCATGCCACAGCAGAGAGCTAGATTGGAAGGGAGCAGCCCGGACTAGAACCAGCGCCCATATGGAATGCCGGTGCCACAGGAGGAGAATTAACCTACTGCTCCACGGTGCCGGCCCCTTAATTTCATTTTCCACAACTTTTTCAAGTACCTTGGTATAATGCTGTTGTAAACAGAATTTCAATAGCAACCTCACCTCTACCACTGTTATTCTTAGGAACAGATGATTCCTAGTATTAGCACTGTGTTAAATACATATACAGAAGGCACAATAACACTTCTGAATTAATTGTTATAGCATGAAACTGAGGCAAAAGTAGTAGGCAGAAGAGAAAAGGTGATATTAGACAAATAATTAGCATCTGTTTCCATTCCACTGATAATCACTCATTATAGATGTTAGAAATTCCCACTATCAGTATTCAAGAAGATAATTATTTTTAAAAATACTAGAGCTGCTTAAGCCTATTAATTTTCCAATACTAAAAAAAGTCAATTTACACATTTCTCTATGAAATATCAAAGGACATATTCTAGAAAATAGTAGAGTTGTAGACTACCTAAGTATAACATTACTGTGAAATAAATTTATTCAGCTACTCTATAAAAATTCATAGAAATATAAGTTTTGAGGAAAGTAAAATTGAATTTTCCTACATCTACTTTAAAGACCCTTGGTTAAAAATGTACCTTTCAAAGACTTGCATAAAGTAATCAGAATTTTTAAAAGCCAACAATTATCCCAGTTGTTCTCAAACTTTAGCATACATCAAACTTGCCTGGAGAGTTGTTAAAACAAGAATTTGGGGCCCAATGTTAGGATTTCTGAGTAAGAAGCCCTAGGTAGAGGCCTCAGATCCTCATTTCTTCAACTTTCCATGTCCCCATGGTGGCATGGATACTACTGGTTGGGGAATATACTTTAAGAACCACTATTTTGGGGGCCAGTGCTGTGGCGCTGGCCTGAAGCACCAGCATCCCATATGGACGCCAGTTTGAGACCTGGCTGCTCCACTTCTGATCCAGCTCTCTGCTATGGCCTGGGAAACCAGTAGAAGATGGCCCAAGTCCTTGGGCTCCTGCACCCGCATGAGAGACCTGGAGGAGGCTCCTGGCTCCTGGCTTTGAATCGGCACAGCTCCTGCTGTTGCAGCCAATTAAGGAATGAACCATCGGATGGAAGACCTCTCTCTCTGCCTCTTCTCTCTCTGTGTAACTCTGACTTTCAAGTAAATAAATACATCTTAAAACAACAACAACAACAACAACAACAAAACACTGTTCTGAGGGACTATGTCATACTATAGCCCTGTAAAGCTTAGTATATCTGTGACTTGAGTAAAATCAGAAAAAAGACTTTTCACAGAAGAATCTGATCTTTCATTCTCCTTCAAGGAACTTCAAGTTGGTGTACATTTGTATGTACATACACACACACAGACATTCAAATCAACCTCCCGCCCTGCCACACTGACACACAGTCAGAGAATGCTACATAACATGGATACTAGCCTGGACATATCCAGGAAATGTGTCTGCATCAAGCAATGGCACATTGCATAATCTCATAGCATAAGTAATAGCAGGAGCAAATTTTTACAAATATTAACTTGAAGGTATAACAATAGCAGAAGCAGCAATAATATCTGACACTTTCTGAGTGCTTTATGCAAGGCACTAAGGGAAGTGTTTTATATGTATTATTTCATTTAATTATTTAAAGAATCCCACAAAGTAGGTTATTATTATAAGGTACTTATTATTATCTTTTCCATTTTATAGATGAAGAAACTGAGGCACAGAGATAGTGAGTGACTTGCCAAGGTCACACCTAGTAAGTAGAAGAGCCAGGATTTGAACCCAGTCATTCTGGCTTCAGAGTCCATGCTCTTTAAAGTAATTATCCACTAACCTTTTTTGTAAAAGAGTGAAAGGGAGGTAGATTTCACTGGCTTCTGAGTCTGGAAGGCTGAGGTTGCTTGTGTCTCTACATTTGCAGTAGAATTTACACGTGTGGTTGAACTTTTTTTCTTTGGGGATCTTACAGGAGAAAGATACCTAGATATATTTAAAGGAAAATTCTTCATTTGAAGTTTGCTAAGAATCAAGCTCTGTCTCTCTCTCTGTCTCTCTCTCTCTCTCTCTCACTCACACACACACACACACACACACACACACCCTCTCCCCAGGGTTGAACACATACACCCAGATACATGTTATCTATTTATTCTGTGGTTCTACACTTAATTCCCTGGGCAGACTATTTAAATGCAAGTTGGGAAAGAAAGCTTAAAAGAAAAACTACACATCATCATATCTAATTATTTTAGTAAGAAGCTCTTTCTGGGAATTACTGCCGTATTGGAAAAAAGTTATATATGAATAATGTCTTATTAATAATTATAGGATTGAGACCATTAAATAATTTCTGCTAACTAAGCAATTTATTGATACCAAGTAGTATTTTCATATTTCTCTGGCTTCCCTCCTGCAATTGTTTAAATTGAGAACTATGATTCACATATATGATGAGACTTAGGTTACAAATACAGATATATACACACACACATATAAAGTTAAATTACATAGTATAGAATTCCATGAATTAATATGTAAAATAACAAGACAGATTTATTTACATCTGTATACTAAATATGTCAGGCATAAATCAAAGCAAAAATATTGATAAATATTATCAATTTCTGGCAATTCTCATTGCTCTGTGTTACTCTCTATTTAGTAGAATAATTCAGGTCTTCTTTCCAATTTTGTTTAGTAGCTGAGAAATAACTCTGAGCAGGAAGTAGGCTATGTACTTACTACAAATGTTTCTACTACTTAAAGTATACTAAGTAGTACACTTGGAAAAGGAACTCACTGTCACAATGATTCTATAAGTATGGGAATCTGGTCCACCATGAATTTCCGTTCAGTTCCCTAACTAACATATTGTAGACTGAGTTATCTCAGGCTGGCATCATGGCGTAGTGGGTAAAGCCACTGCATGAGACACCGGCATCCCATATGAGCATTGGTTCAAGTCCTGGCTGCTCCACTTTCAACCCAGCTCCCTGCTAATGTGCCTGTGAAAGCAACAGAGGATGGCCCAAGTCCTTGGGCCCCTGCACCTACGTGGAGGATCTGGAAGAAGCTCCTGACTCCTGGCTTCTGCCAGGCCCAGCCCCAGCTGTTGTGGCCATTTGGGGAGTGAACCAGTAGATAGAAGATATCTTCTCTTTCTCTCTCTGTCTCTTCCTCTCTGTGTAACTCTGACTTTCAAATAAATAAATAAATAAATATTTTTTAGAAAATTTATTCTTCCCTAAGTTTTAAGTGCAAATATTGAACTACCTAACAGATAGCACAACTTGGATCTCAAACTTAATAAGGCCAAAGTGGAGTTCTGGATTTCTTCCCCAATTTGCTAATCTAAAAAAGAAAAGTTCCATATTGCATCTCTGAGTTATTAAAATTCATAGACCATGGGTTATTAAAAACATTTGAAAAATTATTTGAGAAGCTGAGAGACAAAAAGAGAAAGCTCCCATCTGCTAGTTTACTCCCCAGTTGCCAATTTTTGCCAGGGTTGGGCTGGGACTGAAGTTGGGAGACAGGAACACGCAATCCAGGCCTTCTACACGGAAGCAGGAACCAATTACTTAAGGTATCACTGATACCTCCCAGGGTATTCATTAGCAGGAGGCTGGAACTAAATCCAGGCACCTTGATTTGGGATGTGTGCATCCTAACTGGTGTCTTAATCACTAGGCTAAATGTTTGCCCCAGGAGTTACTTTAATTTCTCCATTTTTCTAAATTCTCAAATCCAATGTAAAAACCTATTAAATCTATCTTTAAATATATCCCAGATCTTTACATCTGTGATACCCTATCTTAGACCAAGTCACTTATATCTCTTACTTGAACTACTGAAATAGTCTCCAAATAGGTCTTCCTACTTCCTTCCTTGCTCCTATTCCTTTCCCTCCACAAACCTACCTGTATTGAAAATAGCACCTAGAGAGTGGTCCTTTAAAAATGCAAATTATAGAAAGCTGCATCTCTCCTTAAGTTGTTTCCACTACCCTTCAAAAATTCAAATTCATTAAGATGGTCTATGAGAACCTGTAAGACCTACCTCCAGTCTCTCCAACCTAATCTTGTACCATTCTCCCCTTGCTCACTATACCCCAGTCACATTGGGATTTCTTTCTGGTACTCAAGTAAGCTAAGTTTGCTCTGCCCTAGGACCATCACACTTGCCCTTTGTTCTGCCTGGTATACACATCATGCAGATTTTGCCTGGCCATCAGCTACTAGTCCTTGAGGTCTCAGGTCAAAATACCACTTTATCAGAGGAAGGAAGGCATCCCTAACCATTTCATCAGTCTTTCAGTTTCTTTCACATAATTCCATTTATTTCCCTTGTAGCACTTATCATACTCTAAAATCATCTTACTTATTAGTTTGCTTGTTTATTGCCTTCCTCCAAATTGAAGCTCTATGAGAGGAAGAACCTAGATTGTCTTACTACTGTATTTCCAATGGCTAGAACACATCTTGGCATTTAACAGATAACTGTTTGTTTAATTAAAGAACAAAAATAAGGGTTGGCTTACTTATATGAAAGTATTGCCCAGCAAACAAATTCATGAATGAAGGCAGAGTTTCCATATGCCAGAAATACTTTGGGTATAAGTATCTCTGGAAAGCTGTCTCTACGTTATTCATAGAACACAGTAATGTCAACCTCTCTATTGAACTAAAAAGGAATATAACATTAGGCACATTCCTATGGAAGGCAGTGTAGCTAGAGTGATTAAGAGCATGGGCTTTGGGGTCAGAGTGCTTGGGTTGGATTTCTGTTGACTTTAAGCAAGTTACTTTATTTATCTAACTCCCATTTTGTAGAAAACTAGGCTTACAGCAGTTTTATAGTGTCATATATAATTGTTATGAAGATTAACTTTTTTTTAAAGATTTTATTTATTTATTTGACAGGTAGAGTTACAGACAGTGAGAGAGAGAGACAGAGAGAAAGGTCTTCCTTCTGTTGGTTCACTCTCCAAATGGCCGCTACAGCTGGAGCTGCACCGATCTAAAGCCAGGAGCCAGGTACTTCTTCCTGGTCTCCTATGCGGGTGTAGGGGCCCAAGAACTTGGGCCATCTTCTACTGCTTTCCCAGGCCACAGCAGAGAGCTGGACTGGAAGAGGAGCAACCAGGACTAGAACCAGTGCCCATATGGGATGCTGGCACTGCAGGCGGAGGATTAACCTAGTGTGCACGGCGCTGGCCCCGAAGATTAACTTTTAAAATGAGTCTGAAGTACTAGGCAATTGCCCAGCACATAATAAATCCTCAATAAATACTGATTTCTTCTCCCATCATCATCATCATCATCCTCATCACACTAATGAATAGTGTGGGACTATATCACACACTACTGCCTATACCTTCCCTATGCTTCACTTCAAATGTATTGGTCTGCACTATATGAAAAATGCTCCTGTTTCCCTGGCAGTTATGCATTGGGATTCACATCATGTCTGGTTCTTAGAACACTCTTCTATCTTCTTTATTCTTTTAAGTTTCCATGTTGAAATTCTATTCAATGTGTAATGCCTATCTAAATTGACATTTACACCATGAAAACTATCCATTTTATACCAATACTAGGTGATTCAGTAGTATTTTATATGACTGTTACATGGTCATGTATCTTATATTCCTAATTTTTAAAAGTAGAAACAACGCCTTATTCAGAATTCTAATCCCTGTAGCTTCTATATAGTACCTTGCATACACTAAATGCTCAAAACCTATTTGCAATTTGAATGAATGACATAACATTCTACTTACATATCTGCTGCAGTGTGATTATTTTGGAGAGGAAGGTTGAGAGGACAAGCAGATTCAAAATGATCAGCTGGTCCCTCTCTGTCCTTTGACTGTTTAATAAGATCAAATAAAGGTGAATCCTATACGAATGAAGATAATATTAAAACAACATTAGTATATACAATTTTCCCATGTCATTATCAAAATCACATTGTCTTACATGATGAGTACTATGAATGTCAGGCACAATTGACAGTGGCAATTTAAAAGTCAGAGTGAGATCTGTTTCTCTACTTTGAAATTCCTGATTGCCATTTTTTTAAACTACACATTGATAAAGTAGTAGGAAACTGTAGAATCTTTCATGCTTATATTAGAAAAGAAGTCAGAAGTTAGGGGAAAAGACACAGAAAACAAAAGAGCCAAAAAATGCAGAAAGAGGGAAATAATTTAGAAACACTTGGGTAAGTTAAAACACTTGGTTAAATAAGAACTTAATATGAAACTAAAAACAAAGATAAAATAATGCTACTTGATCAACAAAACTAACAATTGTTTTTCTTTAAATAATTGAAAAAAAATAAGTAAACTTCCAGTCAAATTGATCAAGAAAAACAGAAGGGAGAAAAAGAAAGGCAAGAAAAAGAAATCAAAGGTACACAAATTGGGAAGGAGGAAGTCAAACTATCCCTATTTGCAGATGACATGATTCTATATATAGGGGATCCAAAAGACTCCACTAACAGACTATTGGAACTGATAAAAGAGTTTGGTAAAGTGATGGGATATGAAATTAAAACACAAAACTCAATAGCCTTTGTATATACAGACCATGCCATGGCTGAGTAAGAACTTCTAAGATCAATTCCATTCACAATAGCTACAAAAAAAATTAAATACCTTGGGTAAACTTAATCAAAGATGTCAAATATCTCTATGATGAAAATTACAAAACATTAAAGAAAGAATAGAAGACACAAAAAAATGGAAAGATCATCCATGTTCATGGATTGGAAGGATCAATATCATCAAAATGTCCATACCACTGAAAGCAATATACAGAAACAATGCAAATCCAATCAGATCTAGAAAAAAATGATGCTGAAATTCATGTGGAAATATAGGAGACCCTGAATAGCTAAAATAATCTTATACAACAACAAAAAAAAGCTACAGGCATCACAATACCAGATTTCAAGACATACTACAGGGCAGTTATAATCAAAACAGCCTGGTACCAGCAAAAACAAAAAACAAAAACAAAACAAAACAAAACAAAAAAAAAAACCAGAACAAAAACAGATGGTAGATCGAGCAGTGGAACAGAATAGAAACTCCAGAAATCAATCCATACATCTACAACAAACTTATGTTTGACAAAGGAGTTAAAATCAATCCCTGGATCAAGGACAGTCTCTTCAACAAATGGTGTTGGGAAAACTGGATCTCCATATGCAGAAGAATAAAACTAGACCCCTACCTTATACCTTACACAAAGATCCACTCAAAATGGATTAAACATCTAAATCTATGACTCGATATCATCAAATGATTAGAGAACATTGGAGAAACCCTGGAAGACACTGGCATAGGGAAAGACTTCTTGGAAAAGACCCTAGAAGCACAGGCAATGAAAGCCAAATTTGACAAATGGATTACATCAAATTGAGAAGCTTCTGCACTGTGAAAGAAACACTCAGTAAAGTGAAGAGGTAACCAACAGAATGGGAGAAAATATTTGCAAATACTATAACTAATAAAAGATTATATCCAGAATCTATAAAGAGCTCAAGAAACTCCATAACAACAAAACAAATAACCCAGTTAAGAGATGGGCAAAGGACCTGAACAAGCATTTTTCCAAAAAGAAAATTCAAATGGCCAACAGACACATGAAAAAATGCTTAGGATCACTAGCCATCAGGAATATGCAAATCAAAACCACAATGAGGTTTTCCCTCACCCCAGTGAGAATGGCTTTCATACAGAAATCAACAAACAACAAATGCTGGGGAGGATGTAGGGGAAAAGGTACCCTAATCCACTATTGGTAGGAATGTAAACTGGCACAGCCACTGTGGAAGACAGTATGGAGATACCTCAGAAAGCTGAATATAGATCTACCTTATGACCCAACCATTCCACTCCTGGGAATTTACCCAAAGAAAATGAAATCAACATATGAAAGAGTTATTTGTGTTCCCAGGTATATTGCAGCTCAATTCACAATAGCTAGGATATGGAATCAACCTAGATGTACATCAACTGAAGCCTGGATAAAAAAATTATGGTGTATGTACACCATGGAATACTACACAGTAGTAAAAATTGTGGGGAGCAACCCGGACTAGACTGAGTTACTGGAATTAAGACTTATTCTATGCATCTGCTCTCCCACAATATGGCGCTGGGAGAGAAGTAAACAGCTTCTGCACAGCTGCCTCCAGTTCAACCAATAAACTGTAGGACTTGCTCCTGATTGGAGGAGAGCAGCGTACTCGGCGTGTGGGCAGCCGAGTTGGGATTGGCAGAGGAGGACTATAAAGGAGGAGAGAGACGGCATGCACCAGGAACACCTAAGGGGAACATCTAGCTGGAGGAACACCTGTGCAGCCCCCGAGAAAGCCGGCCGGCGGTGTGCCGCTCCCCTGCGGAAGTGGGGAATGCGGCCAGGGGGAACTGCCCTTCCACGGAGGTGGAAGGGATAGTAGCCAACCCGGGAAGAACCAGCAGCAAACCCGGGGAGGGCCGAGCAGACGAAAAGAACAGCGCAGGGTCCTGTGTTGCTCCTCCACGAAGAGGGGGAGCGACAAAAATAATGAAATCTTGTCAGTTGTAAAAAATGGATGCAACTGGAAACCACCATACTTAGTGAAACAACCAAGTCCCAAAAAGACAAATACCATATGTCCTCCCTGATCTGTGGTAATTAATAGAGTACTAAAAGGTAATACACTGAAATAAAATAGACACTTTGAGATGTGATGATTTTGAACAGCCCTTGCCTCAACCATTGAAGAACAGTTTTTCCACACTATTTGTTGAACTCCTTACTTAGTGTAGGGTTAATCTTATGTGTATAAAGTTAACTGAAAACAGATCTTTGTAAAAAATAAGAACATGAATGGGAGAGGGTGGAGGAAGAAGATTGGGAGTGAGGGTGGGAGGGAGGGTGAGGTAGGAAGAATCACTATGTTCCTAAATTTCTATATATGAAATGCATGAAGTTTATATACCCTAATAAAAGGTTTATAGGTTTAAAAAAATAACATTTATAAAAAAAGAAGGCTAGCAGTAAAAATTATTCAAAACATTGATTCAGAACCTGTAATTTTCTAGAGGTGACTGCAAGTACATATAGTGGACTCCATTAAAAGAGGGATCATGTGTGTTCTACTAGTGTTTTTTTATATTTATTTATTTAAAATTTTTATTTGAAAGATGGTGAGGGGCAGGGGACAATGAGAGAGGGATGCTGCTCAGGATGCCTGCACACCATACTGCAGTTTTTAAGTACCATCCTCAGTCCACTCCAGCTTCCTGCCAATGCATACCTGGGCAGCATCAGGTGATGGTTCAAGTAGTTTGAGTCTCTCCACCTATGTAGGAGACCTAGTTTGAGTTCCAGAATCCTGGCTTCAGCCTGACCCAACCCCAGCTATTGTGGGCAATTGGGGAGTGAACCAGTGAATGGAAATTTTTTCTTTCTCCCTTTCAAAAAATAAAAGTAAATTTAGGGGCAGGCACTGTGACATGGCAGCTTGTCTCTGCTTAAAATATTTGTATTCTATATTGAAGTGCTAGCTTAAGACCCAGCTACTCTGCTTCTAATCCAACTTCCTGTCAATGTAACCTGGGAGACAGTAGATGATGGCTCATGTGCTTGGGTTCCTGCTACTCACATGGAAGATCAGGGTGGAGTTCTGGACTTCTGGCTTTTGTCTAGCCCAGCCCTTGGGCACTTGGGGAGTAAATCAGCAAACAGAAAGTCATTTTCTCTCTCTCTCTCTCTCTTTCTCTTTCTGCCTTTCAAGTAGATGAAGATAAATAAACATTGAAAAATACCAGTTAAGGATGATTAATTAAATGCATACATTAACTCTCTTAAAATCTCACTAAAATGGTAGTAAATGGGATTTTTTTTAAAGATTTATTTCTTTATTTGAAAGTCAGAGTTACAGAGAGGCCGAGGTAGAGAGAGAAAGAGAGAGAGAGGTCTTCCATCTGCTGGTTCTCTCCCCAAATGGCTGCAATGGCCAGAGCTGAGCTGATCTGAAGCCAGGAGCCAGGAGCTTCTTCCAGGTCTCCCACGTGGTTGCAGGGGCCCAAGGACTTGGGCCATCTTCTACCGCTTTCCCAGGTGTTTAGCGTGGAACTGCAATGGCAGTGGGGCATCCAGGACTAGAACAGACACCCATATGGGATGCCAGCACTGCAGGCAGCAGCTTTACCCACTACACCACAGTGTCAGCCCCAAATGGAATTATTTTAAAAGACATAAATCTAAGAATAAAGAGAATGAAGAACAGACCTCAGATACTTGATTCGGAAATCTGGAAAGCAAATGAACAAGTGGTAATCTACACAGCTGTTAAGAAAAACGCTGAATCAAAACCCAGCAAAGGAAAGCCAACAGGCAAATCAAATGAACACTTAACCTTTCAACAGGGTCTGGAAGTGGTGATACCAGATGCTTTGGGCTGTAAGGTCAAAGCAGAGTTAATGAAGGATTGGCTGGAAGACCTCTTAAGAACAAGTTAGGCTTCAAAATATCCTCATCCTTTTCTCTTATTTTAATTGATAGAGAAAAATGAGTTTATTATTTAGTGAGAAAAAACAACATCCTCTAGACTGAGAGACTCTAGACAGACACATGAGAGGTTACTACACTAAAACACAAGAGGATTAAGAAAAAGTTTATATAATGAATACTGTGTATCCTAACTGTTTCCTGTCTCCTGATCCTAGACCATCTGCAGCCATGATCATATCTTTCAGGCATGAAATCAGAAGCGTCAGAGTTGAATAATATAATGCATCTAAGAGAAAAGACCTACAAAATGGGGGCTTCTTAAGGGATCATCCAACCAAATCAGCATACAATTAAGCTCATAGTCTCTACCCAGGTGCTCAGAGCTTC